TTTTATTGTTGTCCGAGGCCCGGAAGACAAGGTAAGGGTCACCACACATTCCGCGATATTCAACAGTTATTTGGAAGAATCGCACGCGATTTATTGCCTATTTCCAGATAATCGTCTATTCTCTATCGAATGCGATAGGCCGCGACTAATTAATGCCGCCGAACACGTCGACGAAATTAATTAATTGTTGGTAAAGGTCGTTATACCGCAATTAATGAGAGTTATGTAGCCATAATGTCCGAATTTTAAGATTTTCGGAAAGAGAAGCATTTCGACGTTACATAATTTGAAGATTTTGACAAAAGTGAAATGAGGATAAATAAATTGGCGATAATTAATTCAAAATATTTTTTGCTATTATGTGTTAATCTCTTTTAGCGATCACTGCCCAAATGTCTTGATCCATCTTAGATTTCCGGGAAGTGTCGCATTAAAAATGAAAAATGTAAACAAAAAAGCCACTAGCACTTAAAACCCGTGCTAATTTCGACGTGTTTTCTCTCAAATAAAAATTCTTATTCTTTAAAACAATCGAGTAAAATGTAACTGTGCGTTTCCCGAGAGCACGGTGTTTGACCTTTGGTGTATGTTTGCAAAAAATTAGAGGGGAAGAAAAGTACTTTTTCTCCCACGCATCCTGGCGAAAATACAGGGTGTGCTCGCACATATCATCGCAAAATCAACATTTAATAATGGCGCACCGCGTATACCTACATACCACCTGAGTTTGCCGAGCTTGTTTCCATTCCCAAGGTAATTATTACGCGGGAGCAAATGTTTACCTTTTGTTGTTTATTTAAAGGTCTCGTGATATGAAACAAAAGAGTGACAAGTGCAAGTGCAACAACCGGTCGACGGTCTGGAGGCGGTGGATCGTTTCTATTCGCATATGCACATACTCTAACAAAGTATATATTGCGGAAAATTCGCGACATATGCGAAACGGCCAAGCGAAAAATTGGACATTTGTGAAGAGGAAAGTCGCAAAATTGACTTATTAAAGCCTCTGAACTGAATTTATTAAGAAAGAGAAAAAACTCGCAGAAAGGGAAAAGTGAATAAAAAAGCAGGCCCGTAGCTAGTGGGGGGCCAAGTAGGGCTAAGCCAAGTCCAGCTTTAAAACTTTGCCTTTTTTAACAACTTCCTTTAGAAATAATAACGCATAAAATTATAATACAGACTGATCCAAAAGTAACGCATAAAATTCATATCTTTGTTAAGTAGAGTATAAAACGTTTCTTCTGGGCCAGGACATTTGGCGTCTTAAAAAACAATGCAGGATCTTACAAATTTGGCGGTTTGCCCAAAAGCAAACAACCGAAAAAGGCCTAAAACCTCTCAAAAAACATTTTTTATCCACCCCAAAAGTACCTAAATATGTGTAGTATAGACGACCAAAAGTTGCGCACACGAAAAAACCGTTAAAATCTCCCAAAATTATCTCAAGAACGCCCTAAAAAACTAACAAAATACCTTCCCAAAATGGCTTTTTACTTCTGGACCAGGACATTTGGCGTTTTAAAAAACGGGTTAGAATCCCACAAATTGAGCTGTTTGGCCAAAAGCAAACAATCGAAAAAGGCCTAAAACCTCTAAAAAAGCATTAATTTTTATGCATACCAAAAATACCCAAATATCTGGAGACCACCAAAAATTGGGCACACGAAAAAACAGGGTAGAATCCTATAAATTTAGCTGTTTTCCCAAAAGCAAACAACCGAAAAAGATCTACGAGTAATAAACTTAAAAATGTCTTGTTTTTAAACACCCCAAAATGGCTTTTTATTTCTGGACCAGGGCATTTGGCGTCTTCAAAAAACAAGGCAGTATCCTAAATATTTAGCTGTTCTCCCAAAAGTAAACATCTGAAAAAGACCCAAAAGTACTCAAATATCCGTAGGCCACCAAAAATTGGGTACATGAAAAAACCGTTGAAAATCACCCAAAATCATGCAAAATTATCTCAAGAGCACTATAAAAACTTACAATATACCGTGTTTTTAAACACTCCAAAATGGCTTTTTATTTCTGAACTAGACCAATTGGCGCATGCAAAAAAAAGGGAAAACAACACCAAATCAAAGAGGTATATTTGCCCAAAGGCAAACAGCTAAATTTGTAAAATTCTGCTTTGTTTTTTAAGACGCCAAATGTCCTGGACCAGAAGTAACATTTTATACTCTTACTTTGTTATGAATCATTTTTCAAAAAAATCGTTGAAGACGTCGATTTTATTTTTTTAAATGCTACATTTTGACACTGCAGCGACATTTATGACGTCATTCGTTTATTTTTTTAAATGTCAACCGACATTTTTTTATACAAAGAGCTTCATGTTCTTGCTTTATTTTATAAGGGGTGAATGTTTTTGTTTTTATTTTTTTCAATTTAGGTTTCACATTAAGTGTTTTCATCCTAATTATTTAAAAAAATACACAAAAAAACAATTGCCCCTTATAAAATAAGGCAAGAATAAAAAGATAATGCCTTTTGTGTGTAATTGTCAATATTTTTTATTTAAAATTTTTCTTTTAGTTTTAATTTAATTTAACATTTTTTTTTTCTTATTACCAGAAAGATAATAGATGTGTGCTATTTAAAATAGTGAACAAAAAAAGTCAGTTGTCATTTCAAAAAATTAAATGACGTCCAGCTCAAAAACAAATGACGTCATAAATGTCACTATTATGTCAAAATTAAAAAAAAAATTAAATCGACCTGTTAGAGGATTTTTCCGCAAAACGACCACTAACAAAAATGAATTTTGTGCGTTACTTATGGTTCAGTCTGTATAGCAATTAGCAATTGAATAAAATTCAGGCTAAAAAAATGTACCAATTAATTAATTAATAATTAATTAATTTTTAGTCAAACAAAACTCCTGAACTAAAAATTTTGGGTGCCCTAAAAATGTTTTCTAGCTACGGGCCTGCAAAAAAGGCAAACAAATGGAAGCATGAGCTTGTAATGAAATGTAAAAATATTAATTTTGTTTCGATCGATTTTTTGTGGACCGGTTCAAAAATTTGATTTTTCATGTCTCATTTGAATATAACACGAATATCATCGCTAATTTTTGCAAAAATGGCTTCGTGACTCAATGCGAATTTTAAATTTGGTCCGTGATGTCTGAAAATTGGTTATCAAAATTCCCAACGAGGAAACCGACCTTCACCTTGTCCATACGGCCGAGATGACATCACATTTAAAAAAATCGCTTAGATTGTATCTTGGCCATTGCCATTTTGTCTCATGACGCAAGGTAGGCGTAGGGTCGAAGGTTAATCAGTCGTGTATTCAAAAATTTGCGAAAACAATTCAGTTGTCTGTTCCAATCATCAATCATTTGGTCCTTGAACTTGTTCGAAATTGTGTATTTTTTTTTCTCGACTCGATGCAATTACCGAAAACGTTCTAAAATGGAGCTTCAAATCGTTCCTTCCCACATTAGCCGCGGCGTATAATTTAATAAACCCATCGTGTAAAGCATCCCGCGCTACCGTTAAATCAGCTCCCGACAATAAACTCCAAGTTCAACGTCGATGACTTTCTCATAACAACGACGGAGGGAAAAACAGTAGCACAGGCGTGCGCTCCAACACCGGTAATTACATTTAAAAATATTTTAATTGCGAACAATGGCGCAACGACGGCGCCACTTGCAATCACCGGAGTATGCGACACATTTCGCCGATGACGGGGCCGTTTCGACACATCCAAGTACACTGAACTTTAATTCCACCAACTATCTTCATTGTAATCAAATTTTATTAGCGTTGCCACTCAAGTCGAAAATAGATTTTTTACGAGTGTGCCTCCAGCAAACCAGTTCTCTTTTCAATTTTAACGCCCCTATTATCCGCGATGCGAAATTTTTCGATTGTCAAGTGATCCAACGAGTCATCCAGATATTGTTTACCAAAAACGAGAAGGTTTTTCGTGTTTTATGCAAAAAAGCTGATTTATGCTGACGCACAAAAAACTCAAGCCTTGAACATGATAAGACGCCAAATATTTTCTAAGCAAATACTCGTATAGTTATTTGATGATGTTATAAAACTGTTTATTTAACGCTCGGCTATTTTTGCTACTTACTTTTAATTGAAATAAGTTGCGCGTCTGACTTTGCGTTGAAATCTCCGACTTTATTAACCATACCAAGCTTGTATACGACTGTCTTGTACGCTTCCAACTTTCATAAATATTAAAATTAAAAGTACATTTCTTGGTAACCTCCAGAGAAAAAAATCGAATTATGTATGGTTCGTGCAGAAACCTTACATGTTGCCAGGAATTATGCGTTTTTCTGCGGAAGATCGTCATTTTCACATAAATGTAACACGATACGAGGATACTTTTCTAGTTAACCACTCAACAAAGGGTTTTTTCGGTGGGTGAAAAAATTTCGCATGCGTCTCGGCGTGATTGACGTAAAAATGTCAATTTTAGCGTTTGTAGTCGACTTCCGATCGTAATGCCAAGGCGTGGTGTTCGCGTCAAGTGGGTTCCGTCGTTCTCACGCATAGATCTTACTCGAATCGCATATCCAAGTGATGTGTGTGGATGTCTAGATCTCAGCAACACACTTATTAGTATTCAGCAATAAATGGACGCGTTGCGAATTATCAATCCGTCAATTATGCAAGAGTGCGGCATTTTTTCACGAAATATGGATTGGGAAATCCTCCGATTAAATTCGGAACGTGGCCACTTAATTCGTCTCGAAATAAAACGAATTGCCAAGAGTGCGAGAGATTAATAATGACGAAGTATGCTGAATTGCGAAATTGAGCATTGTATTGTGACAAAATGGACAATTAAATCGACGAGTATTATGAATGAATCGTTCGCTGTATGAGACGTGCGGTTGTCCTCTTCAACATACAGCGACTATAAATAAACCATAATTACACACAACCACAGACTGATTGCCAACACAAACACTCGGTCATAGCGTTTTGCTTAATAATAAATGCGAGGAGGGAAAAAACGAAACAATCTACGTAATCATATTATTTATTTATGTACAATAAATTCCTGAGCAAAACAATTGCAATAATTAACAACAGTTCATATAATTTACTCGTATAAACCCTAAATACAGCATTTAAGTTAAAATCTTTTAATTAATTAAGGATTAAGACAAAATTTATATAACACGATATATAAAAAAAATTAAAATAAGTACATACAATATCTCACTAAGTGCTAGAGAAAAATAAAACTCAAAGTCTGAGAGGGATAAATATGTATATAAAAAAAATCATACACAAATATAATTAGAAAAAACAATGGCACGATGCGCTAATTTTGTGACGGTGTATGCGTGATCTAATCGGGAAACACGAGGAATGCACATCTCACAACCCGATTGAAAAAACGTGTAAAACAGTTAAGAGGGTGATATCAAACCCCATGCTAAATTAAATAAACTACAACGATTAATTTAACTTAAACAAGTACAGAAAACTCTTGTCTAGGTGAGAAATACGTAGGTCATAAATCTGGAAAAATCACACCAGACGTTGCTTGCAACTCATCGGTAATCATCTTTACTTACCGTTATCTCGAGATCTCGCCCTTGTTTCTAGAAACAGCTCATATTAGCGCTTAAGATTCTTCGAGGTTCATCCTAATCCAGCCCACTGCATGAAATCTAAGAGCTCCCTCACGGGCACGTCTCTTGCTAATGCTTTCACGCGCAAATTTCGGTCGTCCGTCAAAAGTACGACTTCGCTTACTAATTTCTTAGGTTCGTCTGAAATTTATAACAATACTAATTAAATATAATCCCAAAATGCGCTATTTATAACTCTCACATTTAATATTTATGACTTTTTTTAAATGGTGCTACCGGAATATATTTGAATGCATTTTCATAATGTGGACTAGCTAACAAGCTTTTCGGACTTTATACTCGAATAAAACTGTCTCAAAAACTAACTAATGGGATTAGAACCGAGAACATCTTTTTTAACGTCAGAAATATAAATTTATTGTGTACGTCGAGGCTACTTACTTTCAGCACTTTGTTGCTGTTCCCTGTGTCCCTTGCTTAAAACCAGACACGTGGCTAAAATCTTATCGTCGTTCTTAAACGTCGCATCCAACATGGAATCATCCTCAGTCGTAAAAGTCGTCGACGACAAAACCGCTCCTTTCGTCGTAACGCATTTCACAGCTTGCGGTCGACTCTTGAGAAAACTCAATGCTCTTTTCGCTGCTTGTGCGACTTTTCTCACATGTTGCGGATCTAGCATGCTACGTGTTGACGGTATCGGTGATTTTCCGCCCCTACTTAAACCCTCCAGTTCGCTCAACACTGCCAACATTAGAAAACAAAACGATGAGTTACGCAGCACCGTCACAATACCGTGACCAAGTCGATGAAAAGTGCAAGTAGTAACTAAGAGTCCAACTCTGGACCCAATGTCAATGCACTTGACAGGTGTACGAACAATGCGATTGATTTTTTTTCACTTACCGACGATGGGCACCATAAGGGTGTAAACGTGTGATGACGTTATGGTAGTGATGGGGTCCAGGTGGTCGATGAAACAGTTGGTGTCGGGGACGAGGTACTTGGGACGCACTTCGATATGGACGCTGACGACGGCCTGACTTAAGATTTTCTAAACGATGGGAAGGAAAATATTGAATTGGTACTTGAATTTGCATAACAGTTACATGATGATTATTTTGAGAAAACGACCGTTACCGTATAGAAAAGTTCAACAAATAAAAATTAAATGTATATAAATTTTTGATATTTTCTACGATTTTCCAAATCGGAGCAACTGCATAAAGTGGAAGAAACGGCATCGCGAGCCGCGCCTCGTCACCGCCCGTTTCGGTATTTCCTCTGAACAATCAGACGACAATGTTTCGTCGAGATTTATTGCATCCTCAGGGGATGTATGTACTCTGTTAGTATGTGATGTGGTCTGTATACGAGGAGTTGCATCGGATTTAATGTCGTTGGAATGCCGTCGTCTGCCGAAGAGGAGACTTTAACGGTACACGTGCGGGAGATCCGCCAATCATCCTCCTCGACCGGTAGATTGGCACAGGTCCAAGTGTGTGTGTGTCGCACGAGGAAGTGCCCATGCAACAGCATGCACGCCCACGCTTTCCCACGGCCCGTCCAACGTCGGCAGCAACGGTTCCTGACCGTCCCGGAATTCGTCGTCGATATGTCGTCGACAATATCAATCGAAACCTGAATCCACTGACCCAAAACCGATCAACCCTTCGTTTTTATCTCGAATCGAATGCTAAATAAATCGAGATGGGAGCGTCACCCGTACTTCCCGCGAAAAATCCACCACGACTACAGTTACACGCTATGCGAATTATTCAATTTCACGATCTAACGGCTCCTTAAAGGAGCTATTATGGACTTTTTCCAATAACATACTGAACTTCACAGAATAGCCAATAACAATGAAGTACCGCTCGATTGAAATTGGCATATTCGCAAAAGAAACCTAATTGAATTCGCGTCAATTAGGCACAATCTCTGACAGTCGCGATAATAACACGACTGTCACGCATATCACTCAACATTCATTCGTTTAAATATTACCTTTACACGTTGTTTGTGTAATTCTTGTCGCCTGTGGGTCCTCTCAAGTTCCACTTTGCGGTTTAACAATTCCCGAACTTCAGACGGTGCCTCATCGCCAGGACCGTTCAAAATCTCGTCCTCCTCTTCATCGCTGAAACTCTCCATCAAAACGTCGTTGTTGCGAACCTAACGCAAAAACGCACGTTATCAAGTTATTCCACATTATGTTCTCCGCTTTTTTTGAGAATAAGTATCCAGTTTTGTTTCTATATTCAGTTCATCATATTGCAATTATTGTAATTATCATGCACCTTAAGATGTGCTGGTTTTAATTTTTTATTTGTAAAAAACATCTTTAAAATCGTGTTTTTAACAGTATAACATAGAGTTTGAATTTCGGTAGCCTACAGAACAGCATAAGCTTTATTATGTAACAGAAAATTAATTAAAAAGCCAATATTGTGGTTGTCAAATCTATAAATTATAGTTTTTCAGACATAAAATGTACGATCATCAACAAAAAATTGCTGTAACTAACACGTTTGTTAATCGGCGATTAATAACATCAAAAATTAAATCAAATATGTCAACTATTAATAACTGGCAAACTGGTTATATGTTATAAAACTAGTTTTGTATTATTTGGATAAACTGCACGAAACTAACTTACAAAGAAGTATAAAAAATTATGTTCACATAAAAACCAGTAATAAAAATAATAAATAAATGAATCTTCATAGCAATTACGAAAAGTTTTTTTGTATCATTTTGGCTATTTTAATGTAAAGTTATTCCATTTGGAAATTTTATCACGATTGGTTATAAATTATCACTGATGTCACAGCTAAAAATTCAATCTTGACTGGGTGTAATATAATGTTCACTTGCCAACATTCGATATGCTTGACACTGCTACTAACTTGCCAAGAAAATTCAACACTAAAATGTATATTTTATACACAGATTTCAGAATTGCTTTAAAAGCATTATTGTAGAGAACAAAAATTTAAAAGTCCAGTAAAAATAAGATAGAAATATTAAAACAAATCCATGTTGGAAATTCAAATTCTAATTACTTGCAGTAATTATGGCCAATTAACGTCTGAATAAATCAGCCGAACAAAAGGCCTTAAATAATTATTGAAATTTCCTTCTAAATCAAACACACACAATAGCCAATTGACTTTCCAACTTACCAAACCCTGCGCCGTCACCGGCGATTCTCTACTGTTCGAAGTGCAAACCACCGAGACGTATTCCCTAAAATCGTCTTCGATTTCCAGTTTCAAAACAGGCGGTTCCAAACCGCACAAAAAAACCGTTCCGAAAAATAGCAATTTGTTCATCCTCAAGGCGAACTGTGCCACCTCGACGTCCAAATCTTTGGGCGCGTAGCTGATGTCGGGCTCGTTCACCATCAACGGCGTAAAACCATTCAAGACGATGTCCTCTGGCAGCTTGACTTGTTCGTAACCTGTAATAATGATACGGTGTGGTTGATTTTTTTTTCTCTCATCGCGGTCGTCTCTTCTATTTTTGGAAATTTTTACGTGGGCCGAAATTGCACATCATCGAAATTGGCCGCGCGTCCAATCAAAAATGCAATTTCTTGCAACCGCAAAAAGTTTATAATTATACTGTCGGTCAGAAGGAGAGATTTTCGTGATGGCGGTGCAATGTTTTGTTTGATTTTGACTGGGGCTATATTTGAGATTTGGTTTATTGCAAATGACAACGGACAGTTAGTTTTCGGACAGTCGGCCGTTAGATGTATGATTGACGAAGTCGATTTTAATAATCGAAATCTGATAACATCTGCAAGATTTGGAGCATTTTGCCGTTTCAAAATTCATTCTTAAATTTTTTTTCGCAATTATTTTTAACGAACGAGAAGCAATAGTTGAATGCACTCGCGGATAATTAATAATTAGTACGGGAAATACAAAAATTGTACTATTACACAATTACCGTTATTTCGTGTTGATTCCAAATCAGTCATGACATTTCCCAATCATATTTTGCATCCAGAACTCGTAATTAATTAAGATACCTTACATGAAACTTTGACATTAAATTACTCCTTGCCAACATCATAATTTCCCCAACGTGTAACTTGGCTTTTTTTTCTATTTGATATCGTTATTAACTTAATTAACATGTCCAACGTTTGACAACTAATTCTGATTGGTAATTTCATTTGATATGTAACAACATTTACCTTCCTGATAATCCGAGATGAGAGCGCTGACTGATGTCTGATCTAACTTCTCCAAGATGTTCATCAGTGTTGCAAGACGGGACCATGTATCACCCGAATTCCTGTCAAAAATAAATAAATAAATCACCGAATTTTCAATTTTAAGTAATAAGTCTGCAATTTTTTTTGACACCAACCCGACTCGAAAATCCTGAGTCGACGGCGGCGGATTCCAAACCGCCGAATGACAAAGCATCCAATCGCACCAAATTTTGACGGCCGGTAGTAGAACATGCACGTCCTGATGTAGAGAATTGAGGTTTTCTGGATTGCTCTCCTCCAGAAGTGAAACGCAACGCTCTAGTATCAAATTGAACATTTGAAGAGATACGACAAGGGCACGTTCCTGTAATTCGGAACGATAACCCGCCTGCATCTGCAGCTGTGGATCTGTAATAAAAAAATTAATTTGGCTCCATTTATTTTTTAATGACGTAATTATTGTTTACGTTCCGAGAGTGGAATTTGTGGAATTCAATTTGTTTTTATTCTAATGATGTTAATTTAAGAAGAAACAGCGAAGAGGCGGTTTTTGAACGGTCCTGAAGTGAATTGAAATAAAAAAAAACGGTCTTAATTGTGTGTGCTATAGCTCGGAGGCCTTCGCCTTCGGGTAGGCTGCGTTCAGTTTGTAAACATTCCGAAACATGGCGAAACTCGTCCGTTATAGAATGGTCTTCTTCGCGTCCGTGGCGTAATTATCGGACATTCTTGTAGTCAACTGGCGCCGACCAACCTGCTCTCCTCTGGACCTCATTAGCCGAGTCAATTTGCCATGGAGCGACTAATACACATGTGTTATGCTCACCCCTCCTGGTGAATGTCGCGGCGTTAAATATACCAACGAAGAGGAGAAGAAGAAGAAGAAGGAGGAGGGCGACGTCCACCTCTCGAAGAAGAGATGTTTTTGCATCCGAGGCCGCGTTCTGTCCCCGATTGACCCCTACCAAGGCCGTTTCAAGGCCGAACATTGGCCGTTCTTGCAGCTTTTACGAGGCCGTTTCTTCACTTTGCTCTCATTATGGCGAAGAGGTGATTCCGCCCCCTTCTCTCCGCCCCTCCGTAGACAATAAACGTTCCACGCCATCGCCCCACGGTCATTGTCACCACAAAAAACCGAGGTTTCTTATATGCCAAGTTATGATATGTTATCGATGTCGAAATGTTAGTTTGCGGTCCTGGAGGACCACCGATTCGGAGGTGCTTCACCTCGACGCAGCGACCTTCACAAGGTTAACATTTCACGCTCGTATTAATAATATGTGACGGTGGCAGTCACCGGAAATAGGGGATACGATGCGAAGATTAGACGACGCGAGAGAGGGAGGCGGTACAAGATGGTTCAGTTTTATTTAGCTGATATGTATTTGCATAATAAACCGGTCGACCGCATATGCAGAGCTAAAATTATACTAAGCAACAACAAAAACTTGCACACGTTTTGCCACTGGCCGATGTAAATATAGAAGCAGGAGATGCGGAGGCACACAACCAGAAACGATACACCGATTCTATCACACATACCTACCTTTTTTCAGAATTTTGCGTTAAAAAGAAATAAACAGTAACCAAACAAAAACGAGTTTATTTTGAAACCTTTATTTCTGTTACATTTGAGAAATTTGTGAAGCAAAGTAATGAAAATTAATTGTTCAAACAATCTAAATAAGAAAATAAGTTCTTGGATTTCTTAAAATTTTAGATTTTTAAGCAATTTCGTACAAAATTTTTATTAGTTTTGCAAGCTTTATAGTAGTTTGCAACAGGAAAACGAACTCTCAAGAATTTTGGGCATGTATTTCTGAGAAATGTCAATAAATGAAATATTATTAAAGCAGTTATTTGTAATTTATTAAAAAAACTTAAACAAATTACAAGTCGCTCTATGGTGTAAAGCATTTAGAAACATCGTGTGTAGAGTCACGTGTACACGTGTATCAATTTATCGCTCGAAATTAAATTCGGACCGCGACGATCTCATCAGGCCTCAATTAATTTTCTCGAAATGTGTATCGTTTATCTCAAGGAACAGGTCTTGTGCGCTTTTACATTAAGTGTTTCTCTCAATCCCGTCTAACTGTAACCGATTTAATTAAATAGATTACGCCGGAACGATGGTAAATTATTCGACAGACACGAATCATGTCGAATTATTAGATTTGAAAAGGTCCTTTTTACCACGAAATGCAATTATGCATCTTGACCTGACGTTGATATCTCCATTATGGCATCGCACGATTCACCTAGAATCGTCCCACATTGACGCATGAAACTGCGAAAATTACACAGGGTGTGTTTGTTAAGTAGGTCCTCGAACTAACGGCACATTCTACATTGTGTGTTATGGTGAAAAAACACCAGGAAATCAATCCGAAGAGTGAATGCAACGCGTGTGCGTGTGTTTATAATTGAATTTTCGTGCGTCGACCTCCTGCAATTATTTTCACATATCAGATCGTGATGGATGCGTACACGCACAAGCCCGAGGAAATGGCCGTAACTTTGTAATTACGCTGAGAAAAGCCGAAAGTTACGAAATCGCGACGGTGTCCTTTCCTTTCTTTGTCAAGGTCTAGGTCGAAAAAGTTTTTCCTGTCGGTATGCGCGTGTGACGAATCGCCGAATTCCTGCAAGGAAAACGGCACAGCATTGCTCTCGTTCCGATCGATCGTATAATAACTCCTAACAACCATGACATAATAACATCCAACAAAAGAAAAACATCACCGACAACATTAACACTTCTAAATATAGAGCATAACTATGTTGTGAAAAACTTCCCATCTAACAAAACTGATTTATTAAACGACGATAATCTTCGTTAGCTATGAATAAATTTTCATATCGAATGAATCACCCAAACAAGTGATTTCTTTCCGAGTTTATTTAAGGCCGTTGTACTCGAAATTTTTACCTTTCAATTGGGTGCTTTCGATGGCGAACATATTGAGTGCGAGTAATTGCAGGAATCTGTTGCAGGGCAATGGAACGGGAGAGTGTTGCAACAACGCCCGAAACTCCTTCAGCATCTGCATGGCGGCCTCCTGGAAACTCTCCATTCTGAAAATAAAACATCAGAGGTGAGCATAACTGTACTAAATTAGCGGTTCCATCGAATTTATTTTTATGACATGTTCGGTACGAAAGAGAGCGACCTCGAACGGCCTTGAATTCTTCACGACGACGAAAATTCGGAGCGAAACGTTCGCATCTTATTAACATTTTAAATGCACCGATGCGTATTATTAGCCAGAAATGATCTATAGACGACTACAAGATACTATTGTTAGGCACGGATTTAAATTTATGTTTGTATCACTCAAACACAACTCATGTTTTATGCATTAGATGTGCGCTACGTAATTTGATTAGTCGAGAATTTATGGAAGTGACAGCGGTGTCAGCTACCAATTTTCGAGGCGAAAGCCGAGACGATACAACAATGGGTGCCATAGAACGTTCAGGATAGAACAAAGGAGGCGGCAGGGATGAAGACACCCTCGCCCAGACCTAATGCCGCCTAATAATATGAACGGCGTGTAATTAGACGAATATAAGATTTTTTAATAGGTGTTTGATACTAAAAAAATACGGCTATCCCAAGTTAAAAGTAAAACACAGTGTCTGCTTTTAAATTAAATTTTTATTGGAGCCAAAAATGACTTATTTAAACAACCCTCCAGAATGCCTTGCTCTCTGCACATATTATTTAACGTAAAAATATCGTTTTTAGCAATTTAATTTAAAAGGCGAAAGTAAAAGTTTCTAAAACAAAATGAAAAATGTGTCAGATACTGTGTTTTCTAATAGTTTAATTTTTACAAATACTACTCATTTCTACAATTAAAATAAAGCAAATACAATTTCAGATAAAATGTGTCCCAACAAGAGGTGTAATTTAAAAAAAAAAACTGAATCTCTTTTTATTAAAGATTATGTGTATTTTTATTTCAAAATAAAATTGGAACATTGCCATTAAACATGGAATACAATATCTGTCAAATGTTCGCCTCTGCTTCAGACAGAAAGGCATTCTTTTACGGAAGTTTTGGACATTTTCACATAAAGAACAAAAGATGTCTTTCCGGTTTTACTTTTGAAATTAAAAGTTAAAAACACACAAAAATTACGAGTTGATTCTATTCCTCAGATCAAGTAATTTAAAGTAATTTCGCTCCAAATAATATTTTATTAATTCAAATTTATGCTGATGCAATTGATTGCCGAAACATGTTCCTACGACGGTAAATTATATTTTTTTTTACAATTGGGTATTGGGGTAAAAATGCAGTATAATCGACCTTTTGTAAGGTGTTTTGTAGAAACTGTGTTTTACACTGGGAAAAGAAATTTTGCGATGTTAGTGACTGTTTTTGAAAAAACAATTTTGTTTATTAATTTTAAACAAATAATTACTAATGAGTATTTAAATAAATGTAAGCGTGAAAATAAACAAAAATATGTGAAGAACACATTTAAAAAAAATGTTGGTTACTGTTTTTGTTTGGGACGGTCGAATAGTGCCTCGCGAGGAAGAACTATAAACTCAAGTTCCAAACCAATTCGATGTTGTGGCATTTTTTACATAGTCTAATTAGCAACAAGTGCGCATCATGAATTACACGATTCCTGTAATCTCCCTCTTGACTAACATTGTCCAATGCCAACACGCACCGAGAGGATTATCCTTTGACTGCTCGATAATTATTTAAATAGCAAATCACATTCCAATAGCGTCGAGAGTCTCTTAAAGGCCTATGCATCACTTTATTTGCCCACAAGAGCAATGCAAAGATTATCGGACTTCCGCATTGATCTTCAAACTCATCGAAAAGCGTCTTTTTCCCACTCGAACTCGCGTTACTCTTGCTTTCTTTTCAATGCACCTGTCGTGAGTCACTTTTCCATTGTCTTTTGTTCGGTATATTATGCAAGAAGAGATTCTTTCTTGGTGGGTGCGTCCCGAAATCGATTATTTATCCGGATTTAATTACAGAGTTTTCCTCCGAATTCATCATGCGTGTGTTCCCATGGTGTTTGGTGCATATAATAACTCGTGTAGTTTCATTGCTCACCGTCCGTACGACACATCTGATAATTCTCGCCGTTCCCATCGTTTATTCTACTAATTTATCGACGGCTTTCGATGCAAAGCGAATCCGTGTGGCTTTGCCATTTCCCGTATGCCATACTCTTGACCGGTCGCTGCCGCACCACGATAGAAAAAACCTCAAAAAACAAACAGGAAGTCCAACTCGTGGCCCGGAAAAACATCATGATGATCGATGATTCGGCAAATGCAAACTTGAGCGCACAACCGGACACGAAACCCACTTCTTTTGCTCTTGTCTGGTAATAAAATTAGCGCAAAACTGGCCCTCGTTAAACGAGAAATAGTTAAATATCGCTATAAACTTTATTGCCTCTGTGCATCATCCGATATCTGACGGTTGCGAGACTTTTGTCGCGGTATTAGAAACGCCACTCCCTTTATCGGGAATGTTTTCCTAAATAATAAATAATTAGACGACCGTTATATGGAAATTGATGCTACGATCGGGACCAATTGAATAAATTTGACCAACACAAAAAAAAACTATTTTTGTCCACTTTTGGATAAAATACCGTAATTGCGAATTTTGGCCATACACGTGGTGTAATAATAATAAAATAAAAAGGCCATAACCATCAACATATGCGTGAAACATGACACTTAAACCTGGAAAAAACTAAACAAATGACACTAGTTTGGTATTGTTACGACCGGTATTACCACAGGTAGGGTAATAAAAATCATACACCGTCCTATATTTTCCGTACAACTGATTTTATTTCATTCCGAGAATATTTTTCAAAATAAAAAAAAACGTACCGATCGTCCATCTTCGACTCTACATAAATGGCCAATAAGAAATCGTAATTTATTTAATGCTTACATTGCAGTACCGTTGACGGTCTCTTTTGACTCGAATCACCGGATCGCATAAATCATTTAATAAATACGATAACAAACTATTTCATATTATTACCTCTATAATTGGCATAGTCACACCCGAGATATTCCCAAGACGAAAATTAACATAAAAGACATGGACCACCGACTTATTACAACTTACAAAACGATTTTTTAACGTCAGTGTTGTTTTTTACCCTAGCTATTGTAATACACAATAATAAAATGACTTGTAAGGTCGTGATACCTTAGACCTGTCATGAAAGCGACTTCTTTTATTATCATTGTCCGGTCTCGACCAAGGTTATTCTCATCTTTCCGACTCGGACAATACGAGATTATCTTTCTTTTTCATTAATTAGAATTTATCACGATCGAATATCTTTTTTCCCATGCGGAGAGGGTGTGTCGACCGATAAGAAAGAGGTCGCAAGAGATGCGTGTCCGGACTTGCGGATGGTAGTGCCATCGGTGCACACGAACGGAACGATACGTGCCACTAAAGGAAAACATGCCAAAAGTGGCCTATTGACACCTCCACCAATCAAAAAAAAAAAAAGAACAAGACTTAAAAAGTAATGGTCAAATTAATAAATTAATGATTATCTGAATTATTACATATTAAAAACGTTAAAATAAAGAGGGGAAAAAATGAAGTTCTTTTTATGGCTTCATTGCTATATTTTCGATAACTGTTAATAATTATTTTTTTTTATTAAGTGTGGCAAAACGACTGTTTTTTGACACAAATATTAAAAAAAAAAACAGATAAACAACAGATAGAGATAAAGTCTGTTTTGTTTTTTTTTAATGGAAATTACCAAGTCAAAATTTTGGTGAAAAAATTGGTAGCAGCTTGTCTCCATAGCCACAAATTTTGTTTGCTCTTTGTTTTTGCCCCTAGAAATTTTGTTAAAAAATTATGGTTATGTGTTCAAATTGAGATGTTGTCAAAATTTTGATTTTTATAAATCTCGTGTGGCGGTTTGCTCTTTGAAAGCGCTATAATTGAATACCTAAGGTCTAAAGACAGAATTCAGTGCTAATAATTTTGATAGAAACACACCGCAAGTAAGTATGTACAATGTTGTGGACAAAAATGAGATTCTTGCTACAAAAACTTTCAAGAAAAAGAATGTATATGTACGTATATGTATACAGAAAAAAGTTATTTAGCAAAAGATACAAGTAGGTATTACGATGATTGGCAATAAAATTTGTGTAATTTATTGAAATGAGCTCAAAGTTGATGCATTTTATGAATTCTTTTTCAGCTTTAGTTTCAAAACTGTTACTTTTTCAACTCGCTCCTCAAAAACGATGCACAAGACACTAATTTAATTGCGTTCTTTCCGAGATTCTTTCTCATTCATGGTTATTTTGTCAATTTTTTTTGTTAAAAATTAAGAATGTTTAGCAAACCTGCATTACAAATTGCGTCTACATTTTAACGGGCCCTTTTTCTGACTTCCTACTTGCGAACTACTCGTTTCCAAATTTCGAAAAACTGTTAGTGTACCGAATTTGTTTCTTTTTTGGTGTTTCGTCTTTAAATTTTCTTAGACGATTTTTTGTGTTGACGTTTAATGACATTGTTTTCAAATTAATTCAAAAAATCGGAACTACCAACTTCCTTTATTAAAATTTCCATGAATGAATTTACTAGTGATGCCAACGTTGACTGTTTGGCATTTCCATTTAAAAAAAAAACAGACTTTACAATGTTCATAACAGCTTCGAAAGTTTTGAGCAACTTTAAAATTTATAAAAGCTGAATTTCAACATAAAATACTTAAATTTTCAATAAGCTGCTAACTAAAATATTTTTTTCCTTGCAAGGTTTTCAAAAATTCGCACTTCTATCACGAGTATGATTATCATTAAAAATGAAATTAACCCTTTACAAACCTCAAGTAAAACTGTATATTACAATGTCTCAAATGGCCAAACAACAAATTTTTTTTGCGTTTCCTTTTTAAATTTGGACTCTGTGTGTGAATAGAAGATCAACAATCTGGGTTAAAATCTTTTCTTGACAATCAAATCCCAAGATAATCGAATCTTATTCGTAATTTTAATAACAAAGAAATTCTTTCTTTGTTTTCGTCTACGCCGTCTAGATGTACCCTCCGATAATTCCTTTACAGTTATCGCCTATCTCGCCTAATTAATCCTTCAATCTAGCAACCAGGTGCACCTTAACTGTACCCAACAGAACAATACGAAGAAGCATCAACAAAGTAGAGAAAAAAAAAATTAATCTCCTTCGGTAGTTTTCGCAAACCTGTGGGAATCGGTGCCTGGGCTAACGGTCGGCGTCGGCCGTGTCGAATCCTCGCAATTACGCTACTTCCTGCGGGGCTTCCACTTACCCAATTCGCGTGATTAGTTTTCCATGGACGTGTAGATAACTGATGACGAATCTCTTGTTCACTTCGACGCTCGACAACGCCGCCAGATCTTCTTCTTCTGAATCTTGTTGTTCTTGAACGGTTTGCGTTGTCCGATGGACTCGACGTCCGCCATCCGGACGAATCCAGGTCTCGTGGCGGAGCGATCCGGGTGCGTTTTCCGGGTCTTCGGATTCTTTCTGTTTCATGTGTTGTTTGGCACGTTCGAGACGTTCCTCGCGACGTTTGCGTTCGCCCTGTTCGTACTATTTTCAAAAAAAAAAAAAAATTAATGAAGCGGACAAATGGATGGAAGTTATTACGACTAATCAAGGCAATGACGCCGTTAATCATGCAATCAAATCCGAATTATGTTCGAGTAATTCGCTTTTAATCCCTTCGCGCGGATGCAATCAATCTGTAGCGTTTTAATGGGACGAGGACCGTTTCGCATGCACATAAATTGATTGGTGACAGTGAAAAATAAACCGTTTTGTAGATACATAACAAACAAATAAGAAGTAGAAAGACATACAATCAAAGACGGAAGCGATTTACACGCGAAAATTTATAAACTAGAAGTTGCATACAACAAACTACAATATCAAAAATCAAAAGAAAAACTCATGGGCAGGGTGTGGCCACTAACACCGGCTAAAAGTCACCAAGGATCTAAAAGGGAACGCTTTGTATCCTTAAACACTGGCTTAATTTTTTTTTAGTTATTTAATCTCTTGTTTAAATTATTCTCGACGTCCGTCAAATCAATCAGCAGCTCAATAAAACGTTGACTAATTAAAACCGAAATCTGTAGAAATAATACATCGCCAAATACGAAGCGATTAGCTCTTGTAAAAAATTTGTAAAACAGTAATTGGCTTCTTACTCGAATTGGAACGTCCCGTCATCATAAATAATTAATGGAAACATTTTCGATAAATGGTCGCAAAGGTGAATAAATTGTAAACTTTTTTATTGACGTCACACTGAGGGAAAGATCTTTAACTCAAATCATAAACAATTTCTGTGAGAAAATTGTTGAAATGCTGAGATAAGAAGTGATGGAAGTAGTTTTTTTTTCAAAACAACAAAATTAACTTCCTTGAACATGAAGTTTACGTTTTCTTCCCATGTAGTGGATTATAAATAAAATGTAACTACTGATAATCATCGAGAAAAACGAACTGATCATCAGTGGATATCCTGCATTTAACAAGGATAATCGTTCCCTTTCAGCTGACTCACCCTGTAGAATATAATTTAAAAAATAATGCTACTCTGGATACAAAAAACACGTTATATTATTTTGTCATACGTACGCTTATTTGGTGAAGATACTGCATGTAAAAAAAAAGTAAAACAGATGAGTATGGTTTAACACAAAACATTTAATCCAGTCAAGTGGCGTCCTCTAGAGACACCTCGCCGGATTCACACGTTTTTTTCGGAGGAAATTACCATTGAATACCGAATGTGATTAACACAGAATGAACTTGAAATGTTTAAACCTGCAAATACAATACGCGAAAAAAATACAAGTCAGATTAATAATCTTCAAAAAATTTAAATTAGTTAATCCCGAGAAATGAATGATGTATGTTCTTGAAAAAATCCGTAGTGCATTACAGTTATTCTGTGAACGTCAACAAAATAAACACAAAAAATCAAACTTTCAACGCATCTTTTACAATTTAAATTCGTCCCGACTAATTAAACACAAACAAATTAATTAGAGAAAAAATTAATCAAGCAAGTAATGTAACTGAATTCATGCGCCATGAGTCATTTTATTAATGTAAAATAAACACATTATATTCGTTATGAACCGTTACAAAACATATTTTTTAACCTCGTTTATTAATTAACCAAACCTACCTTTTTTCTGTTTTCATCAAACAAAGAAATTAAGTATTCTCGAGCAGAAGGGACCGGATTCGATGACATCAAACTCCTCATGTAGTAATAAACAGCATCCAATTTTCGCCTCTACAAAATAATAAAATTACAAAAAAAAAACTAAATAAAACAACAAACTTACAGCATACACCGCAAGTACTGCCAGTTGGTTATAAGGCTTGCCATTTTTGGGATTAATTTCATGGGCTTTGATGTACCATTGGCGACATTTTCCATAATTCGATGTTTCGTTAACTTGTTCTCGATATCGGCCCAAATCGCCCAAAAACAAGAGTAACTTTTGAGCAGAAATCAAGGCAAGTCCCACGTAACCCAAACCTTTCTGGGAATTGTTATTGTTACCCAAAAAAGTGCTCAATTTGAATTTATAACTCTCCTCTAACGAATCCAGCAAACTCTCGAGATAATTCGTGCCTTCGTCAATCAAATACAACAAAAATCCCTTGTATTGCTCCTTATTTCCAGGATCATTTGTTATCGCTTTTCGTGTCACTTCGATAATGTTGTGATAGAGGATTTTCCATAAATGTTGCTCGACATTTTCCGCCTCACAAAATTTCAAGTCTTTGCAAAGTAGGTATTGGAGGGCTTCTTTCAGGAATTGTCTTAGGGACTCAACCGTGCCCCAACTTATCAAAATCTGACCCGAATTCATGATGTATTGTAACTCATTATCGGCCCGTTTTATATCTCTGATTAGATTAGGATAATGACAGGATTTAAACCCATCCGAGCTTTCGTCATACCACCCCGGCCTAATATTCCCAAACTGATCAGTAGTATACATTTGAGGCGGTGTCGTTTCCGTATTATCCGAAAATCCAGGCACACTAACCCTCGAACTTTGCGATTTAACAATAATCGGTTTACTCGGATTATTATGATCGAAAAGACTCTTCTGATGACACGGTTTCCGGACTTCCGGGTATCTCGGTTGATCAACGTGCGTCATTTCCTGTTGTTTCGGTGGAAGAATCAAAACTCCGGCCTTTTTCACGTTGATTTTCTCCGTTTCGCGTTCAGAATTGCGTCTGCTTCGATCAGAAAACTCGCGTTCGGAGTTTTGCCGACTACGGATTTCTTCACGCCAGTTTTCCGGTTCGTTGGTCGAACTACGACGGTTCCGGTCGAAACTGGATTCTCGGCTAGGGTTGCGTGAACGTCGGTCGTAGCTGGAATCGCGACGATCGCGCGAATGACGACGGTTTCGACGGCCGCGGGGCTCTTGAGGGGCGCGGAAAGTAGATTTGGAGTTGTCGAGACTGGAGTCGCGGGGGCGGCTGCCACTGCGGCCCTTGTTGCGGCGGTTGCTACGTCTAAAAGTAGATAGAAACCATGATAAAAAATATTTACTTCCATCGCGGTGTTTTGTAAATTTTGCATAAAAAATTGAAAAGATTGAATTGAGAAAACAAAATATTGAAAAAATGACAGGAATTGAATAATCAATATCTGAAGTCACGTTATAATCGATGAGAAAAGTCGTACAGGAAATGAGACTTCAACAGCTTTTTTAGTGTTTGTTTGTGATCATTTATCATAATTTATACGTCACTAAAAGTGTACTTTCAAATTTGAAAAAAGTAGAACAAGTCATTAAATTTGAAAAAACAAATAATTACTTTCGATTTGGGTTTTTAGTTTTTTTGCCAACTTACTTTTTTGATTTTTTCGGATTGTTAATATTTGGAGGCATAGATTTGATACTAATGTCGACTAAACTTGCTACGGATGAACTTCTTGTCATTGCGTCGCTTAAAGCTTCAGCTTCAAGCTGATCATGTAATTCGACTTCTTCACTCCAATCCTAAGAAAAAGAAAACACAAATATTAGTTACATGCATACTATTTTATTCTCAAGTTTATCTTTGTTTCATTGATAAGTATTTTGGTGTATGTTACTGCAAGAATTCATGTAACATGTGTCTTGAGATTTAATTACAGCTTTTTTACTCTATTCAGATAAATTTATTTTACTTCACTTTTTTAAAATGTTAAATAACATCATTTCATATAAAAAGTCGCCACAATTAATTTCCTACTACAAACTGTACTTACACTAAGATTAAAAGTAGAAAAAAAAAAACATTATTTTTAAGTCAATCTTTCAAAAAGTAAAATCAATTGTTTTTCATGCATATTTTCAGCAAAAACAATTTGCTAAATTATTTTTTATAGTCTGTTAAATAAGTCTTCATGTTTTACCAACGTAGGAAAATTGGCTCAAAAATGGGTCAATTTTCACAATTTAATGCACGTTTTTAAAGGTTCTGCTGACGTGGGGGTCTAAAAACGAAATAAACAAAGCGACCTAAACTCAACTGAAATAAGAAATATTCTTCAAAACATTATGATTTTTAAAACAGTCTAAGAATGTATTTATTGAGAATCAAATTTTCTAACATGGTGTATGAGCTCATTATTTTCTTTCCTATAATAGCCTTCACGTCAGCTAAATTAATTCAGTACTTCACACAATTAACTGACAACGAGACGATAAGCCTTTAATATCTATGCACAAACAATAGATAATGCATAATAATAATAATAATAATGATAAAAATTAAACAAAAAACTGCACAACTTGAAATTTTCCAAACTCACCAAAATCGTATTGCTGCTGCTAGGAACTGTACTTTTGATTTTCTCTTCTGGTGTTGGTGGCGTTATCGGTGGTGTATTTTCTCTTGTTTCAACTTTCTGACTCACTCTTTCCTCCTCAGCCCAATTTTCTTCTTGCACTTCGTAATTCTGATTTCTCCTATCGTCTTTATTTCTTCCGTGATTTCTTCTATTATTCCTCTCGCGGCCGTTCCTTCTATAGTCGTAATTCCTCGGCGATGCCGGTCTATCCACCCTATTCAAATTATCATTACTTTTGGTTCTACCGTAAGGAGGCGTGGGAGGTCTTGAGTTACAAGGACTCGAAATCCCCAAATCTGGAGTTCTGGATCTGTACTCGCCTTCTTGGTGTAAACGCCCTCGACCTCTGTGTCGATTCGGCAAAGTACAGTACCCCACATTTTGATAGTAGTTCTGGTTCGTGTTGGGGTAGTACCCCCCAACTGGGTGATAATTACTACTGCCTTGAAACGTTAAACTCGCCCCATTCCAGTCATCTTCAACCCCTTGGTTCAATTTATTGTCTTCTAGCATTTTTCTGCGGAATCGTGGGGGTAGTTTATCGACGTTGATCGACTTATGTGGGGGCCGTTTATCCGATTCTAGTCCAATCGTGCTGTGTCGTCGGCCACTGGGGGGTTTCGTGTGGCTTTTTTCGTAGTTGCGAGGCGGAGGTCCCGACGGTTCCACACTCCGGGTGTCCCTCATCCGCGAGTGGGCCCCATTGGGGACGCCTCGTGGTTCCGAGCCTTGTCTCATCTGTCTCCACTCGTGGTCACTTTCGCCGCCCCCATGGCGCCGATTCGAGTACCGTTTCGATCGGGGGGCGAACTTATCGTCGTAGTTGCCGTTAAGGGTGTGTCTGTCGTTGTCTTGAGACATCTCGCGGGCGTTTGCCACCGCCCTCGGGACGTAAAGCATCTGTTCCGGTTTTCGGGGTTTGCGTTGCGGTTCGGTTATAGTTTCCGGTTTGTATTTGTCATCGTGTGCGTAAGGTTTAGGTTTGAGGTTTAGGTCGGGGTCAGACTCTTCGTTTCCTGTGTTTGATTTTCTTAAAGGTCCACTACCTGGTCTGTAAATTTCCTGCTGTGGTTTGCCACGTTTCATATTTTTCTTTTCTGGAATGTTATTCTGTGATTAAATCGGTGAAATTGTGATTTGCCGTTAAAAAATTGTTTATAAACACGGGCGATACATGAGGGGAATTTTGAGGTTATGTCACTTCGAAGGGGCAATTCTAGGCTTGGGAATGTTACGAATGGGGTTGTTAGTACACAAAAAGGGCACAAATCACTTACTACATCGAATTTATCACTTTGATGTTATATAAAATTAAGAATGATTGCGACAGAAGGTGACACCTACCCAGATTCTAGTGCTTTTTCCAACCTTTCGCATTGGCACACGCAACGAATAAATTTCTTTCAAATAAATATTTTCCGATAAAAATCCACTCCCAATCTACCTAATTAATCATTTATATGATAACGTTTCATCGAATTAATTAGAAAAATCCACGATTTTTGAAAAATATCTCGTTACGAAATTTTGACATTTGGCGCCAAATTTAAACTTCAAAATGAGTCTCCGAAAGAATAAAGAAAAAGATAAATTTAAAGGGCTACCCCAGCGTAAATCAATGGCAGGCCCCACTCTTTTGAGCACATTCACCCAACCGGGGGCCATGAGAAAGAGCATCGTCAGCGACATGATGGGGAAGCAAATGAGGGCTAGTTACGACTCTGAAAACGAAACGGTCAATCTCCAACACACTTTACCTTATAAAGACTATACGGCGCTAGACGGACGTATTAAAATGGTGTCAATCACGTGAGTACCCCACGAGACAACTGCGACCCCTTATGTGCCCTTTCCAGTGACGTAAATAAAGAAATTTTGTGTTGCAAATACAACGAGGATTTTGCCTATTTAGCAGCGGGTTGTTCGGATGGAAACATCATGATGTATACAACCGAAAACGGTACTTTATTCACGAATTTGATCGACAATGACATCGAAAGGGCGACTGCTCCGGTGACGGCAATACAACATCGACCGGTCTCGAAAAGCTACCCCATTAATAACTGTTTTACTTGCACTTGTAACGAAAATTTATCATTCTCGTAACCCCTCTAAAGCAAGGCTTTTAGACGCTAACGGATTCGTCAAATGTTGGAATTACAATTTCAATCAATGTCTTTATACGATCAAAGAAAATAGGGAAACTTTCGGCCTGACTTACCACCCCAGATACCCCAAATTTGTCACTTATGGTGACGATTGCAAAATTTATTTGTACGATGAGGAAAGCAAAACCCAAGAACGGATTTTATCAAGCAGGTATTTTCACAAAAATATAATTGTCCCACCCTTAATCCACACCCAGTAACAACCCCAAGATCCACGACGGACATACATCTCGAGTTTTCGCCGCCTGTTTCCACCCCCGATCCAATTACGAATTACTAACTGGGGGTTGGGACGACGTAGTCCATTTTTGGGACTTGCGACAACCTCATGCGATACGACACATTTCGGGGGTTCACATGTGCGGCGAAGGCGTTGACATCAACTCGAAAGGGACCGAAGTCTTGACATGTGCTTTTCAAGTTGAAAAGCCATTTCAAGTCTTCGATTACGGCTCTGGTAACTTGATTGGAACTATGGACAAAGGGGAGGAAAACTCAAAATTGTACATTGGGAAATACGTGTCGAAAGATTTCGTCGTGTGTGGAGGCACAGCCCCTAATATTTTCCGAATCATTGATATGACTACTTACATGGTGAGTTGTTTAGGGGTGATTTTGTGTTGATTCATGAGTTATATTAGAGTGTGGCTTCTGTTTTGGGCTTACCTTCGGCTGTTTACTCTCTGGATTTGGGCCCCCCGAAGAAAGGGGTGGCTGCTCAACGCACCGATATCGGCGCTTCGCCCCAAATGGCCTTCGTATCGGGGAAAAAATTATACCAAGTGGACTTTAATTAAACAATCGCTCTTTATTGACATTAAAGCGATACATTTTATTTTTTTTTATAATACACGCTATAGTACAAAAAAGAAAAATCTATCACACAAATACACACAAAGCAAGAACAGCGTTAACTAAATTTCTATTCTAAAAAGAAAAGTAAGAATAAAAAAAAACCGTTGAGTTACTTGCCCGAGGCTTGAGCTTTTCTTGGGGTTTCACGGGGGGCTGTAAGGACTAGATTTTTAGACAGCCAAAAATTGTGATGTCGAAACGAAATCGGGAACCTCTCCTGCTCTTATTGTTTTATGAATGGTCCACAGTTGGTTTTGGCAGTGAAACTTAAATTTACAATTTGTGTCGAAAAATAGCCTATTTACATCAAGCGCAACACTTAAATTTATTTTGCACTATCCGAGAGCAGTTCAGAGAGACAGAGAAAAAGAGAGACAAGCGAGGGGAGAAAAAATTTCAAGCACTTAATTACAAACGCAAGAGTGCAGTCACAGCCGTATTTTTTTGTAATTTGAGCATTACATAGTGTTGTAAAGTGTATTATTGTGCCTTGGTTTGATCGGCAGTCGAGCGAGAGGATGACTTTTTCCGTACTGTTGCTGTTTTTTCGTAGCGCTCGCAATCACCGACGCCACAAGACATGGGGGCGCCGTCCTCACCACCGGCGTCGGTCTCTCAGCCATTTTATCGCTCTTCCACTTGGAGGCGACTTCAACACACGAGTAACGCGCAGTACGCGGAATCATTGCTTTCACGCTTTTCGAGCGTTTGGCCACTTGTGGTTCTTTGTTGTTCTCGAACAGACCTAACAAATTTTTAAAGTTCATCTCGTCGACTTTCTCCTTGTCTTGGTGGAGATTTACAGGCGACGCCGGTAAACTCGTCACTTTGTTCTTTCCGGTTTCCGGATCGGGGTTTGTGCTAGTTTTCGCTTCGAATTCCTTCTTGAGACTTCGGACGATTCCAGGGGTTGTATTTGTGACGTTTGACGCCGATTTAGAGAGAGAACAGTCTGCAGGAACTAAATCCATCGATGACGGCTCCGGAGCGCTGACAGATAGTCGCGATAAACTCTTGGTTTTGTTATAATCGCCCGGAATTTTGATAGTCGGCGATATGGCACTTGGAGACAACACCACCAAACTCCGATTGATCGCTTCCACCGGTTGTTTGTCTTGTTCGTTCGCGTATTCGAAAAGGGTTTCCGATGAGGATGATTTTGTCATGTTATTTTCCTCCAATTTCTGTTTTGTCCTTTTGACCGTTCCCGGATGCCAAGGAATGTCCTCTTTATCGTAAGGGAAAATTCCCGAAGTGCCACTTTCGTGTAGAATCTTCTCCCCTTTTTCATTGTGATAATGTACGGGTCCTCTCGGCTTCATGTCGTACGAACCCCAGGAACTATTCCTCGAAGGTAACAACCGTGTATCTCCTGACCCCCACGAGCTATGCCTCGACAATCCGACCTCGTTTTGCGACCCCAGCGCTACGGCACTGTCGTACGAACTCCACGAACTTTGCCTCGATGGACATTCCCTCAATTCGGGGTTTGCAACTTCCACGATTGAGATCCTTTGTTGTTTCTTCTCCTCGCGGTCAAAAACCCGGTCCAATTGATTCGAAAATGGATCCTTAATACTAGTTTGCACAGCACTTTCCGTAAGGTTTTTCACTTGAGTCGAGCTAGTCCACACATGTCCGTTCACTACACTATCAGTCCGGGAATCACAGGAATCACTTGTACTGTTACAGGAAGACGTCGTCTTTTTGTCATCATCGCCGGGGTCCCATTCTTTTTTCAATACGCGTGGCATTGGGGGCGATTTTTCCACTTCTTTATTCGATTCGAGCTCACTGACGCGGTCCTTCACCGATGGAATTTCCTTGTGGGTGAGATGCACGATTCGATTCGGGGACACACTGTACGATTCCCCGTTATCGCACGGCATTAAAACGTGTCTTTGAGTCTTTTTCTCCTTGATGCTCTCTTTGGAAGTCGATTTTTGACTGAGATCTTCCAAAGAGATCGAAACCGGGGATTTTTCTGCCTCTTTCGATTGGTTATCTGGTGACCAGGATTTCGGCCTCGTGCCTAAACTCCTCAAGTCTTGTCCGGAGAGAGCAACGTATCTCGGCAAAGCTTGAATTATAGGAGTCGGCTCGCTGCCTGGAAGAATTTTGTCCGGTTTATTATCCGGCGATTTCAAGTTTGTTTCAGACTTGGATCTCTGTAATTTTTCCTTGTTTTTCATCGCGTCCAAGATGCCCTGATAGGTCTCCAATTGCGACAAGAAACTCGTGTTCGGCTTTATGCACGTTCTTTTCTCTTTGACGTGATGCATCGCCGTTTGGAAGTCCCAATTGTACGCTTTCATGGCGTACGCGATTACGACCGATGCCGATCGACTCACGCCCATTTTGCAATGGACGAGAACTTTCGAACCGTTCTGTTTCGCGCTTGTGATGTATTTGAATGTGTCGTCCCAATATTTCAAAAGATCGGTTTTTTCGTCGTCACAAACACGGACGTTGAAATAATTGAAGGTGCCGGGAAAGAAATTGTCGATTTCTCGTGTCACGTTCAATATATGGCCAACGCTGCAACAAAAAATATACATCAAATACACTAAAAAATTAACAAAAACAAAATTACTAACCCATTCCTTTGTAACTCTTCGTAATTTGAAGCGTTCCATTCTGAACCTAAGTAAACGTGATCGAAAATCTCCGTTGGTGCGTCCATCTGACCCAAAATTGTCAACATTTCTTGATCGATGAAACTCTTGTACTCTCCCAAGTCCATATCGAGATCCTCCTCCAACCTCGTCCTTATATATTTACTCGTAACTTCGTCCAAATCTACAGACATCATGATTTCCTTCAAAGTCGTCCTTATAACCCTTTCAGTTTCTTCGCGTTCCCTTGGCTTAGTCCTTATTGAATCGGGCGATGGCGGTCTTTTGGACTCGAGATTATCCATTGCATGCCATTCGTTGAGACAAGACCTATCCGATTCGATCCTTTTTTCATAATAATCGACCCAGTCATGGGTCAGACCACCTTGGAAGTAATTTTGTTCGCGGGCTTTCGAACTGACCTTGTGTAAGGTTTGGAGGGCCGACCTGAAACAAAAAAAAATTAACACCAACGAAAGGGTCCACGGCTTCAAGGACGACAACTTATACCACGAATAAAAGTAATTTTAAGTATGTCTCCAAACGGAAGTTTAGATTTTTAGCCTCAAATAAAAAAAAAATCCAAAATTTTGAATACAACCGATCCCGGAAGCGTTCAAATCTTACTCTAGAGTCACAATATACCTGTCACTATCCCACATAGACCGTTTGGTGAGGTGCGTTTTGCGATTGACAACCATTATCACATCAACATTGACCGTCAGTTATCACAACCGGACGTAAGTCACGTGATTCGTGAAAATCGCAATGTGTTCCTTAAAACCGTATCGTCGTCTCGACGATTTGGTAAAAGACAATCTGATACAACCGCACCAGTGATTAATTCACAAGAGACTGGCACTCGTAGTCATTGAAGGATCCGAACATGGCCATCCGCGCGATACACGGCCGACCTCCTCGCACACACCAACACAAAATCCCGCGCGTTGTATCCTTTTGTGAACGAACGATTCCTATAATGTCAGTTGATGATTTTTTTTAAGGGAGAAATAGGGTTACAAAGGGGTCGCGTCCCCCGATCAAGATTCACTGTTATAATGACGATAACAAATCGACGGGTGGCGCGCGAATCAAAAATAAGAATAATAATCCGACTCAAATTCTTCTATCGTTGATGCAAAATAGTAGAAACGAGACGCAATGACGAGAACAAAGTCTATACTGGACGGAATAGAAACATGGACGTGCAAATTAAGCCGTGGAAAGGAGAGGAGTGGCCGCAAAACCAACCTGCTCTTAGAAGCACGGCCTTATTTAGACATACGACGGACAGAGGTGGACTTGCAGTGTTTTTGATCTTTCCAAAAAGGCAAATCGATGAAAATTCAGGTTTTCAAAAAGGGGACCAAGTAAATGAGAACGCAGATATTTTTATTCGATTTTTATTTCAATAAATAACCAAAATTTTTGGACTTTGCTAATCATATCATCAGCCCACTCTTCCCAAATGACAAGTCACTGACTTTATTCGAACAATAACTCATTTTATGAATAATTAACTGTAGCAAAATGTTATTGTCAACGATTTTTTATAGACTTTACATAATTTTTAATAGAAAACTATACATATAATAATTCATGTAATTTCATTTTTAAATAAACTTATGCGAGGATAAAGTGACTTTTTTTTAACAAGTGAAAAAAATCTGAATTTTTATTAGCAAAGCATGCGAGGCGTTTCATAATAAATAAATGTACTGAAAACAAACTCAAGTTATAACGACCTCGTGTAAAAATAGTTCTCAAACTTTAGAAAAATCGCTGATTACGTTTTGCGTTCTCATTCCTGGTCCCCAAATAAGGCAAAACTCGTCAAAATTTCGCTCTAGCTCCATAAAAGCTCCCGTTCCCACCGTCTCGACCAGTTTCTGTTTTTTCCCGTCGGTCGTGCCGTTTTGCTCAATGAAATCCTCGGCGATACCGTTATCGAAGTCCGCGTTTCGTCCATATAAGGCCCGCAACCTTCGCGACATCGTCCATTCAGTGTCCACCATCACCGTTCAGGACGAAGAAGACCGCCAACTTTTCATCGACCTTCTCGCGCGAGAAAGCGCCGCACCAAATTAAGGGCAACGGGGCCGACGCGTTTTCGCCAACTTCCCTTATTTAGTCGCCGCAATCGCCCACAACAATTCCGAAATAAAAATAAAAATATGTAATATACATCACGTGGTGAAATGAGGCGACATATGCATCAAGCGTCAGGCTTTTACTTTCGCGAAAACAAAAGTTTTTTGCTATGATTTCCTTTCGAGGTGAAATTTCGATTAGAAAAAGTTCGACATGACTCCTACGGCGTCCGATCGCCTTAAATGGCGTCGGCGTCGAGACGCATCTCGCTAATTTTGGGACGCGGCGGCGCGCCCGACTACCACATTTAAAATATACTCACCACATCGCCTGGACGGACACCGGCTTGAAGATGTGGTGGCGGCCGCAGACGCTCACGCTGAAACCCCTGAAAAGCACAAAAAATAAGTAAATACAAACTCATTTCGTCAAACAACGCCGCATACTGATATACAGCATGTACCAGAAATAAGTTCATTACTCATAACCACTTTAAACAAGAGCAACACTTAATACTGGAAATTAAGATGAAAGAGTGAATATTTTAAGATATTTTAATAAGCGTTTGTTCTTGTTTTACTCGTAAGTAATTCTTTTATTCTGATATTTCGGTATTGGTATTAAAAAAAAAATTACTCACCCGTCGCCGTCCAATCGTATGGTCGTATCTGCCATAACTTTCAACACCAACCCCACTGTGGTTTTTTCATTACAATCAATGCCTAAGAGACACGACTCTTCGCCGCGTTTGCCCATTCTGGAGACGATCACCAGGTAGCGTACTCGAGTCGCATGGACGCTTTCCAACTTGACGGCCTGGAAAAAATTTAAAGACTTTCTTTTAAAAGGGTCGAAAAGGTGACGAGATGAATGCGGAACGCATGCACGAAACGGATTCGTTTTCGTTCCGATTTATATCCTTCGAGCGGTAGTCATTTCGAATTTCCATACGGTAGGTTGGATAACGGGCGAAAGTTGTCGTTTATATGCTGGTACTACATGTACCATCAAACTGTTTTTAATTAACGTGATGCATGTTTACCGTTTGATTTATTTGTTAATTAAGTGGAAATGAAAAACCGAGTTAACGGTCGAAATTTTCTCTTTTGAAAAAATGTCCTCGTTTACGGGCAATTATCTTCGCGAGTGTTAGATGAACATGTAAATTAATTGGCAAGAAAAACATGAACGCAAATTTTCAACCAATAAAAATTCCTGAGCAATACAAAAACAAAATTTGGTGTTTCAACGTCTTGTGTTTTATTTTACTGCTTGCCCTCTTTACATTAATTTCATCTTATCGACAAAAATTACCATAACAACGTAATTTCAATTTTTTTATTTATTCATAAAACGCAAAGAAAGCAGCACAAATATAGGCTCCCTACAGAGTTAAAATCGTCCATTCAAAAACTACAACACTTTCGACGATTTGTCGCCACCCACAATGACCACAAAAATAGCAACTCGTGTGTGACTTTTTGCGCGATAACTCTCGCTTCCTATAAAGTTTGTGTTGTTTTTATTGGCAAAACTGTTGCTTCCTTCATTCAAAGCTTTACTACAAACAAAATCTGCTGCTACTTATCTAGATTTTTTTTGTCAATATTTGTTTAAAGACAGGTTTAAACATTAAAACGTAATCTTCACCTTGACCATCCTTTCTTTTATTACAAAAACAAAATTTATTGTTTTTTCGATTGAAAAACTGGAAAAACCAATCGCAAATTCGATTACGAAACCTTGCAACATTGACTCACAACCGTCTGCACGCACAAAAAAATCACGCACACTTTCACTTATCATTCGACAAGAATATCAAACACAAGTCGTAAAGAAAAAATAAACAACACAAACGACAACCGTGATAAATATTTATTACCTGACTTGGTAACCAACCTGACAAGACAACAAACCTCCATGTTATTTCTTTACCGACCGTACCCTCTTGTATTATCACTAGCGACCTTTGCTGCGATAAAGCGGTGAAAGTAGGCATAGGTTGGGCCATTTTTTCGTATTTTTCCTCGCGATGTCAATGCACTCGAAACGGATTATTATTATTTCCCCCCGAAAAAGGTCACTTGTTGCGTCGTAAATACAAAGATTAAACATGTGTGAGGCTATTTACGTTTTTGGAACCGGATCAAGAAAGGTTTCAGGGGCGAACCGTGAACAAAAACTCAAACTCGTCATATTAATACCTACAACCCCAATTTTTTCGAATACTATTGAGAATTCACAAAATACACCAGACAAACAGAAATACTGCATTGAACATTGACCCTTCTTACACCAAACCACTGAATGTACTTCTTCAAAGAGGCTATCGGTCAAATTCCGTCAAAGCATCAAATTTAATGCTTTAACACAACAGACTATAGTATAATTTACCTATTTATTGTTGGTAGGTGACTCGGTATTTGTTCGTATAATTGATTTTAATCCAAGAATCATGTATGAACACCTTTCTCTTAAGAAATCTCGACCTTTAAATGTCAAAGATTAACGGAACAAAGAACATCTTCGCACCTGATTGATGATCGAATCTTTTCCTCCAAAGTCACGAAAACGCGTTTGTGGGCCAATCGATAATGCATTTTTCCATTTATGACGTCCATCGTTTGCGTCATACAGACCTGACCTCTCGCATTTCCATCGATTCACTTACCATCTTGAGCGTTTCCTCGGCTCGCAAAAGATCGACGATCGACTGGAGATGCTTCCTGATGTTGCTGCCTTGGGCGTCTGTCCGTCTGTTGGATTTTTGCGCCTCCGCGGCCGGCAGTACCAAGGCTGTACCCTTGCCCGCGAAGTAACACTCGCTGAGGCTGAAAACGAGAAGAAAAAAACGTTCAATCATCGTCCTGTTTGGGATTCAGACAGTCACCGACCCGTCGACATTGACAGCGTAATCGGAATATATCGAAAATCTATCAATCGTGAGCGGTTTTCGATGGATAAAGACCGAAAAGTCGAACGGTACTGCAACGAAATGACGAATCGTTTCGACGAGGCGGACGGAGGCGTTTATGACGTGTGAGATTTTCGCGACGAGGTCGCTGGCTGAATTTCGAAGGAAAGTCGGAAAAACTCGACAAGTTTTTTCATAAATGTAGGACGAGATCGTTAGTTGTCCGAGTGACTGTTATGGTTGTCGACTTGACCGCGTGATTGTTGTTTATTGTACTTCTTGTACCAGTGAGCTCCTTAAGAAGTCGGGAAAAAACCACGACTTTATTATTTAAATAACAAACAACTTTAAAGCCAGTTACAAAGTCTATTATCATTCGCTCATATTGGCTTCATTAATTTATTAAATTGCTCTTGGCAATGTTTAAAGTCCAACCAACTAAAATTTGCATTCAAAATACAATAGGCTAATATCATAAAGTGCTTCGTAACCATCTCAAGTGTCAATCACCGGAATTTTCAAGTATCTTTCGCCATCACGGATCACAGGTGTGTAAACCTGTCGAGGTCGCAAATATGCAAAATATCATCGATAATAATTAATTGGTATTCAAGGACGGAGATTTTTTATAAAAATTGTATAAAGGTACCGAGGCCTCAAATTTCTGTTTTTGAAAGTTCGAACACTCCCAGTCGTAAAATAAAACACGAAACCATAGAAGGAAAATTTTTATTGCCTTTTAAATACTCAACAATTCACATAATAGCATATTTGGACTAAAGACAATAATATATGCATAAATGTTCTGATCTCTGAATTGCAACCTTAACCTCGAATAACCATTTTCGAAACAATGGACTCGGATAATAGCCAAATTCTCACTTATAAATCAACATTAGAAAGATTTACATTGAAATTTGAGATTTTAAGCTTATGAGAAATGATGTATCAAAATAAAATTCATGATTTATTGTAATGTATAATTCCAAATTACTCTGGGTGGCGGTATATTTCATTTTAGAGGCAAAAAAAATGTGTTCAAATATTTCCCTCACTTAACACCCCACATAGTAGACTTCCTAATTGAACTCAAAATCTTTGTGGATTTGTTCCAAACAGACCCGAAACCCAGATTACCATTTAGTCTGTTTACCGTCAAACCCTCCAACAGCTGGTAGACGACGTAAAACCGTCTTCAGGTAGTCTTCCCAAACCCCCGGATTGTTTTTCTTTCATCCTTCGACTCGACCCTATTTCCGTGATTTTTTTCCACATGTGTCGCAACCGAAATTTGACGACGTTCACTGCCAAATTCAATTGGCCGTGACCCACATCGACGCAAATAAAGTTCGCTTAGTAAAGAGATAAATCGTTGGACGATTGCGTAATTAATTGGCCGCGGTGGTGAATGTTTGAATAACAACGAAAATTAGCGAACCGAAGATAATTGATTCGAGTATATGCTTATTAAATGGTGGTACCGTTGAGGTTTTTGTACTTTTCTCATTTTTTTTTGAGTTATTCTCAACAGTTGAAAAGACAATTGAATGGGTATACATAAAGGCACCGTTAGACACATTCGCGTAATAGAATCTAATTGTAATTTTGCGAAAATAAAAAAGTAAAAGGCCGAATTTTTCCACGCTTGCACTCTCAAGCATGTCCGGTTTTGTTATTTGTTTATTTACATAATTAACAGTATGGTACAACATTATGTACCAATTACGGTGTCGTAAACTGTTATCGATAATTTTTTTGTTAATTTACTGTTGTTAATTATAAAAACATTAATTGCGCTGTTGCTGTCACATTTTATTTGCAATAATAATTACAGGAAAAGAAATTTCTCTCACAAAGACATGAATATACACAGTGACTCAACTATATGATGTCACTATTCAAAATTCACACAGTTATTCGACTATTTTTTTTCATCAATCACTGTCCCATCAAAACCTACTCTCAAATGATGTAATTTCCACACAAATCCAGTCCGCACAAAATCCGGTCACCGGATTCGTCCTTTCTCCATCCCGGACCTTCACGACCTACAATTTTCGTCCACTTTTTCACTTTTTACACGATGTCCCACTGTACAGTTAGATGCACACAAAGCCCATGCATGGGTGAACGACCATTATCGTTCTCCGACGGCAATGCCTGCCTGCCTGCCTTTACCACGCTCGGCTAAACGAGAAAATATTCCGGACAATGGAAGAAAGGGTTGATGGACATGCGAGGGTTGAGCGGACATTGGCCTTACGATGACGTCGACGGCGTCGCGACGACGGATAAATCGAAAAAACGATGGGCGATGACGAAAACCACAATTGCGTGATCGAGAGACGTAATTATTGACTTTTCCAGAGAATGAGGGTGTTCTATGGTAATGACAAGGCGATTAGATCGCCCGGAATGACATTTTGAAGGGCTGTGTGGGTGGTGAAAACATGCAAATGACGGGAGATTCCGGAATTTAAGTGTGGGGAAGGGATCGATGAGAGAAGTGGAACAAACAACAACACGAAAACGTTTTTAGTACATAATACCAAAAGTATTTCACTGTAAAAATAGTTTGTTGTAAAACTTGATTACTACTCATTTAAAATTTAAGCAATTTTTTGCACCCACAGTCAATTTTCTCCTGTTTCAATAGCCTCAAGTATCTCTCATCAAAAAAGTGCCTTGTTACCTTACCATTATGATTCTTTAATTGTCTGGTATCTCACCTTCAGATCAGCTTATTTACGTTTTGTGAACACGATCCCGCGAGCAGTAAAACCAACATAAAGTAATTCTAGAGTCTAAATATTTATTCACTATTTCCAGAATAAGTTAGTTGCTAAGATTTTAAGCAAATACTTCTTTGAACCTCTCTTACATGAATAATTGTACAATTTGCCAAATTTCTCCTTTTTGAGTAATTGCCAAAAATCTGTGCCGCAGAATTTACCCTTTTGAACTCTTTATACGTGCTTTCACCTCGACTTTCGCTCGTATCGTATCAAAAATCGTCATCCATCACAAATTCGTCTGCGATTGTCGATGCAGCACGTCGATTATCCAGACGAAAAAAATCAACCGGTTTCTGGAATAAAACCGCATCTCAATATAGCGTGACCGGCCATTTTGAGAAAAATACAAAATCATTAAAAGCGACACAATTTCTACGAAAACTCAAGGGGCGTTCCGCTTTAATAATTCATTTTATTCTCGGTATTGTTACATTGTGTCCATGAAGGCCATCCGACGCACCGTCACTTCGGGTGAACCCCGGAATCGGGAAAAACTTTCAAGACAATAAAAACGTCGTTTTCACTCGTAATTTCCTAATAATAATTGTATTTTTTCCTCGTCTGAGTTCATGTATTCGCTCGAATTAACCGTCAACGCGAACAAAGAAACTTTCTAAAAGGCGCCTCCACTGACATTTATTAAATCGATATCAAAAGAGAGGAAGTACGTAACTGCTTGATTACGTGCTACCACAACAGGAACACGAAAAATCTACAGAAAAATCCGCTTATTACTCAACGATGCACTTCTGACACGATTCTCACCGTTGGTAATGTCGAAAGAGCATTGTTTTACGTAATTGTGTGAGAGCATTCGCGTAATAAATATTTGAATAAAATCAAAAGCGCAAAAACCTTGATTTCTGACAAAGGCGTGCGTCTTGGTGGAACATCTGCACCGTGTCGGACAACGCGCCAGCGAAGAGATTAATGGACGTGCCAAGGTTGCCAATTTAGACTAATAAAACAATGCGAGTTTGCGAATGACGACAATAAATCGCTCGTCGCTAATTCGTATCTAAAAAATCAATTCGGAGGAACAAATGTGACCCGACAAATATAGATTTGTCAGTTAAAACACGTCTTCCAAAAGGAAGAAATGAGTTTTGAATTTACTAGCATGGAAAATACACAAAGGTCACTCACATCGCGCACATGGCTCATTTGATGCACACTATGTGCAACACTGTTTTAAATAGCTCGCGGATTATCTGCAAAGTGCGGGATGTTTTCAGGTTGGCACACTTGAGACAGTTCAAAGACAAAGTTCTATTAACAAAACGCAACTTGAAAAGAAAAATTTATATTTGGACAGGCACCAAAATCAGCTATGACCATGAAGATATCCTTGATTTGGTATCTCCTCTAAAATATTTGGCCTCCACACTTATCAGAAAGTCTATATTTTTATTATTTTATTTATTATGAATTAATTTTTACAGATTTTTAAAACTATTTAAAAAAATCAATCTTTGATGAACATAACTGTACACACTGTAATCCTATCAGAAAATTCGTTATTTCCTTTGCACAATCAAAAAAAAAATAATTTAAGATTGTTCATTGTTATTTATTTACATTTGAGTGCTAAAATTAATGGTCATTATTGTTGACGCAAGCTGTGTGAAATATTAGTAAGTGATAAATTTGTCATGTGTAGACTTAATTTAAAATGCGTTCAGCGTTTATGTTAAAAATAATTTCTTTCCAATAATGCTTATAAAATTCCCCAAAACCAGGCAAACGTTACATGTAAAAAAATAAAAAAATGATTAAGACCTGGGCCATTAAATAATACTTTTCATTAAAAAAAAAATAATAATTCTAGCCGAAAAATCTTGTATCGGGCAATTAACGAGCCCAAAAACCTGTTGTGAGAAGGATTAAATTGCTAGAATATTTCGCGAAAACAGAATAAAATACGACCAATCAATTCGCAAATTAATTTTCCTACAATGTTCCTCTCAACATCTCGCCTTTGCTCGTTAAAAATTCGATTAAATCTCAAACGTTGGCGTATAAACGCTCATCGGAACCATAAAAGTTCTGTGCGAAGTTGCTGATTAAAATTATTGTCAAATGTCGCTTTTGGCGAATAATTGGCTTTCATGACGAATCATTTTTTACCGAAAGTAATTGTCATGTCAGTGAAGTAATCGATTAAGAAACCGTAACACGAAGCTGGCCCACATCCTAAATTATATAACGTTAAAAATAAATTAAATTCGCCCCGAATTCGGCCTTCTTTTGTATAACCATTTTATTGTGGTGAGGAGCAAGTGGCATATCACGCATTTATTACCGTCCTTCGAGTATTTCAGACCTTGATATCTGAGATCGGTTTTCTTCAGACCGAAAGGCATTAAATATCAAAACTCGCATTGCATCAGAGCACAAAACCGCACGATCCTATTACAAAAATGGGGCGGTTTTTCGCCCTCGTAACGAAATGGACTTATTACAAACACAATTATTATGTAATGTGAGATATTTATACAACGTAACATGTGGTTAAACACTTGGACATTACTTTCTAAGAAGTGTTTATTGTTTTAAGTTGTATGTCGGATAAACAGACACATGCAGACGTGGCGAAGAGAGGAAAAAAAGGAAAAGTGATAATCTCGAAGCAGTGCAACTTTCCAATTATTATAATTCAGAGCAGTAGACAAAAAATATAGTCATTAAAAGGCAATCAGGAGAGACAAGACGAGACGTTTAAGGTAATGATTGCAAGAGCTTGAGAAAGGGACCATAATTGCGAAAATTGGACGATTTGCAGGATACAAAAAAATGTCAATTTAATTTTGCAGGAAAACTGAACTTTTTTCTCTTCCATCAACCAGGAATTTAGAAAGGAATCACCCGATAATTGCGCAGTTTTACCAACCCACCGCTCATAATTACACAAGTGTTTTACCCGCGAATTAGCCGAGTGAAACCAATTCTCGCTTTGACTACATTTAAAAATCATTAATCGAATTCGATTGTTCGAAAGTATTAGCTCTCTTACAGTTAGAAAAGACTCGTTGAATGGGATCGCGCCCATCAATGGGCAAAAGCAGTAGCAGATGTTGGTCGAAGACGACAACGACGACGACGACGAAGAGACAATCGGATGCGAAACGCGACAGGAATAATTCATGACTTTAAGTCCGTTGGACGGGAACGGGAATGAAGTACGTGTTTGGGTTTTCTGAAAACGTTTTTAGACCAATGGCGTCGCACCAAACACAGAAAGGATGTCCTAATTAAACATCGAAGGCCGTCATCGGGCCGGCAAGAACAAAGAGTTATGTCGTGACGATACGCCCGAAACTTGTCTTTATTTTTCAATAAGGAACCGATTGATTTCTCGTTAGCAATTCTAATTGGAGGGTTGCTGCAATTACAGATATACTTTTACTTAATTAGAATCAAAGAAAGAAATTAAACCACACACAAACGAAAGTGCTATGAAAATACCTTTTTCTTTTACTCAATTTTTGAGAAATTGTTACGACTGGTTAAACGCGTTACGTTCGGGCATTGAATGGTAATTTTTGACGGTCGACTGGAGAATAATTTAATCGGATGTGTCCCATTTGGTGCAGCTGGATGGAACCCGTTTCTTTGTTACGTTCCTTCTTTTCACAACCTCGATGATCACAATCGGTACCAAAAATGTAACACCGAGCCGACCATTCGCTCGTGTGGGCACGAAATATTTAAAACATTCTTAAAGAAAAAAAATCACGACACTAAGTATAGATCGCTGTTTTCCTGGAAATTTTTGAAGAACAATACAAATTTTTGAATTGGTGTATTGTGATTTTTAAAATACTTTTCATATCAGATTTGCAGTAAAACGTCTAATTCATTTATGATTTTTTACGCAATCAATTTTTCACTCAAAAGGTCATAGTGATCATCCCAACATTAAAAAACGTAATTAAGTAAAACTTTTCGTCCTTGTAGCATTATTAATGAACAGGGAAGTCGAGTACGCCATTTATTACACTGGGGTGTTGACCGTAGAGCACTTGACGAAGCTTTTGTTAGCAGGTTTTACACGACAGACTATTATTATCTGATCTAATTTCAACTACAAAGTTTCACCCTTTGACATTATCAACCCTTTCATAAGACATCTAGTTGTGGCTGAATAAAATCAGTATATTCCACCAATGACGCAATGTTTGTGAGTAAATAAAACAATACATCGCTTGTATACAAATCGTCGACAAACTGCTCCAATTTCCAAGCAATTTTCTGCGGCGTATTGCATGTTCTGTATTATAAAGAACGGTTTTTATCTCTATATCTAGTCATAAATTAGTTAAGATCCACTCTCTTGACTATTACTATCATTAGTTGACAAAGAATCGTTTCGCTTCGTCGACATCCACAATTTTCAACAAGTTCGTGGTTTATTTTGCGCAACGCGATAAAAACATTACCTAAATAATAACAACAGTGGGTTGAGAAACGCGATCAAATAAATTCGATTTATATTTCGGCAACGCTCTGCGAAAATCTCGACCCAGTTCTTTTGTAAGGTTCCGGAACACGTGTCCATAACTGTAATGAAATGTAACCAAGACGTTTTGATATTTCGGAAACGAAACACCTACGATAAACAAAAACAAAAAACACTCACCTTTTCGGGTTCCGGTTCGTGTCCATGTTGTCATCTTGCGGTCCGGTGGATCCCTCCTAAAACAAGATAAAATTTACAATAAACAGCTATCATCAAATTTTAGTCTAAATATATTAATGATAAACATTTATCCGGCACGTGCCGATCCAGGAAGAAATTTCAGTTTCCCATTTCAAGGTTATTGTCGATAACAACAGTTTCGCATTTGACAACAGGAGTTTTTCATGTAACGGACTACTAACCCCCATTTCAGTAATTTTTTGACCTTCCCACTGTTTATTGAATTTACAAACATTGTTGAAGGACTTTTACAGTTAAAATTAACACTAGTGTGTAAGATTCGCGCCCTAAATATTACGGTGTAACGGATCAAAATTTCTTGCTTAAAATGGAAAAGTAAACGTCAAGGACAACCGAATTAATTCGACAAAAAAATATCACTGAATAATGTTACAAACCACATTAACATTTGGGACTAATAAATATTCACCACATTTTACGGTATAAATTCGACGTTTCCTTTTCCTTCGACCGAAAGATAACAAAAAAAACTAACACCAAATATATTTTTTGCTGGTTACGAAACAGTTTCGTATTTATTAACTTTCAGATTTTATAATTGACAGAAGTAATGACCCCTGAATTCATAATTTATTCCGAAGAAACTAATTTTGTGCAAATTAGAACCTAATTTACCTTATTTGGTAATATAAACAAAAAAATTTGATAAGACGATGGAATTTTTTGGGAGCTAATCAAGAAAATCTTATAATGATTCATCAGCGATCTTTTAATTTGAAAATTACCAGAAATGGACCGAATCGACAAAAACGTAACCTCGAAAAGCGTCTCGTTTCAATAAAGCTGATTTTTAAAAATACCGACATGCTTTCTCTCGCCGACACGAACACATCGACATACTGGAGAATCCGTATCTCCTTATATGGAAAAGTTGTGCACCGAGGAGAACAACAGTACGAATTTCATCCTTATCTGATTCGATAAGGCTACAAAAATATCAAAAATGGTAACTTTTGTATATAGTCCCAACGCCGTCACATCGACCCGATTCGAATCCACTCGACTTTTGTTGACCCATTACAAAACTCAACTTCTTGTAATTATTCCTCCACTGTAACACTCCTCATGCATAATTAAGTGCCATAATAACATGATTCATGAGCTTTAATTGGTTAACACAGAACCGAGCAAAAAGCGAGTTCACTCAACCGTTGATCACATGCCGTTCTTCCTTCTATCATCATGCAACCATTTTAGTAACTTATCGCGAGATTCATTTAATAATTTTCCAAAACAAAAGTTCGTTGTCTTAACGGAGGGTGCCGACCGCGAAATTTCACTTCCATAATAGCAAAAGTGGGTCGAAGTTGGATCCGTTTTGTTATTACACCCTTCTCATTTATTTTTTTGTTCGTTTCAATGTAATTGAGACGCCCACGTTACGGTCTTAATTGAGCACCGAGTTGAAATTTCGAAAGAGTCATTAGTATTGTGAATGAAAATTCACAGAGATGGTATAATCAAAACGAAAATAACTGTGTTTTCAAGTGTAGAGAAAGCCGAGAAATGGATGTTGGACTAAACCATAATCGGTTTATTAGCACCCTTCATCAAATATAAATGTCGTTGGCATCAATTGATGTGTCAATTTACTGACACAGTTTGATGGGACAATGGGATTGGGTTGGGTCATGGTGCGGTTTTCTAATGCAGATTAGAAAATTTTTCTAGTTTTTTTATATTGTATTTTTGACATATCTGGTGCAGAACTAGATTCAAATCAGACACGGTGTTTGTATGTCGTAACGCACAAGTACACAGACTGTCACACAAGCTGATATTTTTGTTTCAAAACCAATTTTATTTCAATCCCATTTTCCCAGAAACACAAATATTACATTATCAAAATGCAAGAAAAATTAATTAAAGTTATTATCAAAAGATACTATAGAGTCAATATTCCAAAGATAAATAATTCCTTTACACATATTAACATAGATTCTCGAAACTATGAAGTAATCAATCAGATAAACTTATCAATTTAATGAAAGTTATTAACCAAATTTTAACAGCTCGTTACTTTTATTATGAACACTTAATATGCAACTGATAATGAAACTACGTTGACAGGTAGCACCAAAATTTAATTGTTTGAAAATTAATAATAATAAAAAATGCATAAAATTTCATAGATTTTGCTTAAAAACAATTACTATGTAATTAATTAATCTATTAATTAGAATACATTGTGTCGTTACTGATAAATAGTTTATTTTTTTTATACTACTGTAGTAAATACTCAAACCTTCAAGATCTTTGAGATGGTCTCGAATACCCGGAATTTGTTCCATTATTGTTTACTATTTCTCTGTTAACTTTGTCAAATTCGTATCGCAATAAGTACTAATTACTCTAGTTGGTTCATCAAATTGAAGTAAATTATTATTTTGTGTTCCTGCAGGTCCTTGCCAAATGAAATTTAGCACACACTCAGCAGGATTCTGTCCCATTTATTTCAGTTTACACAAACACTCAGCAGGACTTCCATTAAATTTTTTCATCTTTCCAGCCTCAAACCATTTAACCACTTAAAATATACACGCAATATAATCCCAAACAAACAAATCCACTTTCTCTCTTTTGTTCAGACATGTCGATTGTTCCGATTGTAATAAATTTTCTATCTTGATTCGGAAACCCATCGTCCAGTCTGCTATAGTTCACGCACAAAGTGCGTAGGTTTATTTACAAACAGCCTAATTAGAATGCACGGTCGAGAAGTTGAAACGATTTGCATAAAAATTCGCTTTATTAAGACACACAGGAAAAAAAAAACAATACCAACTACGACATGTTTTATTTATCATATTAATTTACATTTTAATCGTGATTTAATTACAATATTCAATTTATATTTCATCGTTGAAACATTCCGCGTATTTTATTTTTTCTTTCTAAACGAAAAATTGTCATAATCATCGACGATTTTCTAGCGAAATGGGTTAAAATGGCGCGGGAATACAATACAAAACCGCCGTCATTTCCGCATGACATCAATTTTTAATATGTGCAATTACGACGCGTTTTTCGATCGACATGTAACGGTCCGTCGCCGACTTCCACGGTTAAGCGACCAACAAAATCTATCGATTTCGATCTGTCAACTTTCACGATGACAAAAAACCTCATCCGGATAGGTCATTAATAAACTTTTCGTAATCGCAGGAAATTAAGACGATATAGAGTGCAGTAATTACATGATTTAAGTCGGTTACTACCGGCTCGGATTGTATAATTTCATTAGCGTTGGAAAAAAAAATGATATCGAGGCGGGAAAGTCGACGAAATGCGATAAGAATTCGTTATTACCTCATGAGAATAACTTCTGAAAGGTTAAATTAACGTCGGAATTTTCAGATTCTGCAAATGTCGTTACGTAACATTCCATTACGGCCATTTTAAGGCTGATTTTAATTACTTATACGCTTACAAGGTTGTGTTGCAATTCCGTAGGTTCCTAAATTGCTTTTCGACTTATCTACATATAGACAACTTTTTTTTTCGATCTATCCATATTTGAAAAGACGCAAAAAGCGAGACGTGATGATGAGCAGTCGTGAGAAAATCAACATTGAAATTACTTCCTTATCATAATGTTAACTGGAGATTAATGAGAATTGCTCCGAAGCGAACGAAAAACATTCAAGAAAAATATTTAACACGTTTAAGAAAATTCTTGTTTTATTGATTCAAATGACATGTGCATGTTATAATATATCTCTGGCAAATTATCAACCATGAGATAAAAAGTACAAACATAAATCTAAGATTAATAACACCGAGATTTTTGTTCTTTTTGGTGAAAATCTCTGCTTGACGTCCTCACTAATAAATTTTAATTATTAATGAGAGAAAAGATTAGACCTGTATCAAGTCGCATAAATTGCCAGCAGCAAAGAAAATGTCAACATAATTCATTTCATTTTCTAAATATGGACCGATTTAAAAAAAATCTAGCAAGTATATTATCAACTGTCCGTTAATCGGGATTAAAGAGCAGAAAACTGACGTGTGTTGAAATGTAAAATAAATAGCAACAACAGAAAAAATGGTACGGGAAAAAAATAACAAACATTTCAAAATCGAACCTGGAACATGCAATAAATATTCATATAATAATATATAGATTTAAGAAAACTAAAAATTTTTATGTTTTAAATTATCCTTTATTTATGCAGTTTTTTTTTTAATTTTAATAAATATTGACATATGTATATATTTAAATAACACACATTTTATCTCATATATAAAAGCAAACGTGATACTTTTTTAAAATATTCTGCAAACATTTGTGGCCTTTAAAATAAGTTAAACAATTTTTGTTTTTATTTTGACAGCAGTAGAATTTTTAAAATCGTAAGAAAATTGGTTTAAGGAATTAAAAAAACATTCTTTTATTGTATTTTTGGCGAATTGTTAATCGAGTCGTTGTAGGTTCGGAAAAAAAATTAAAATAAAATTTGAAATATGTATATTAAAATCAAATTAAAACTTTTCCGAACATTCATTATGCAAACATTACTTATGGTAATGCAAACATAAAGGTAGATTTCTATCTACCCAAAATCTCATTTTAATTTTGATAATTTCTCTGTTTTGTAAAAATTCTTCAAGTTTTTAAAACATGCCAATTCTGGCCATTAGCTAAAAATAGTCACTGCACAAAAACGGTGTCAATGTTCGGAATTTTTCTAAAATTATATCAATCGAAATTCATTAAAATAATTTCAACAATTAATTAGATAAACACATCCAGTTCATTACTCACCAATAAATAATTAATTAAATGCCATTACCACGTTATTACATTGCTAATTTCTCATACTTTTACGATAAAACACTAAACAGTAACATTTCCGCAATTAGAAACTGTAAATTTACTAGTTTGCGCTAAAAAACTAATATTTTCGTTGTTAACAATAACACCAAGAATAAATTTATTTTGAAATGTGTCCAAATCCGTTCCACATTTTCATTATCACAAAACAAACCAAAAAAACACAAAGTGGACTGCTTGTCGTCTTAACAATCTCAGAAGCTTATCATGCTTATCACAATTTTTTAACCACAAAACAAACAGAAACATGGGCGTGAAAAGTACTAAATTTCATCAAATTATTTTTTTTCCTATTAGATAACAATGAAACTTGATCATTGTCGGGATTAACGTCCCTAAAAAACTAATCCTTTTTACGATGACATGACTCATAATCCGTATTTTCGACATCTCGCCACGGAAGCCGAACCGAAATTTCTCTAGCCCCTCGATCAATGAATTGCAAATCGGCCCCCCGAACCGGTCGAACATCTATTGATTCGTTTTCCTCATGCCGGAGGCGTTTAAAAAACCCTTCCTGTACAAGCATACTCACTTTGGGCCTAAGACGCACTCTCGGGGGCTTCCACGAAGTGTTTCCGTTGGCGTTGCCGCCGCCAGAGTACAAGATGCTCTCCCATGGGGACGGCGGATTCGGGGTCCTCGGGGGCGGCAAAATGTACAACATTTTTCACACGAATCACCAAGACATTGTCGCAGATTCAATTCAAAGTGATTTAGGGGTTGTTTAATCAACTTTTTCACGACACTCTCACCGAGACTGCTTGAAGCAAACTGACAGAACAGCTGCGAATACGATGGGAGAGCTCCGGTACGACAACCGCACGATACTAAAAACCCTGATACCGTTATTGTCCAACTTGGGAATAAACAGGTCGGAAAAGGTGACAGCAATGGGGTTTATGCCTTTTTAGGTAGCGGATTTGAGAAAATGACCAAAATTGAACCATTTGTTACATTTTCACGTTATCAAGACACGGGGATATTGTTTGTTTACTTTTGCTGACAAAAAACCTTATTATTCACTCGTAGATTAGATAAAAATCTTCGTTAAATATAACCTTAATTTGAATGTTGGTGTTTTTATTGTGACACAAATGAAAAATTTCGTGATTCTAAATATAAACAATGACAAGGGTTGGAAATATTTAGGACTTACGATACTCGTCGGCGAATTATTTGTGCTAGGACTCCGGCGCACCGTCACTAGGGCCATTCTTGACTTTTCACACGAAACACCCACATGAGTCCGAAAATCCTAGACACGTTTTTTTCAAAAAATAATAAACTGATATTTTTGACAATTACGAAAAGACAACAAACGTCACAATAAGCCCGTGTTCAATACTTTCATTTAGACCAATCACAACGCCCGATTCACAAATTAACCAATCAGTGATAAGAATAAGTCAGATGTTTAAACGCAAAGCGCCCTCTACAGGATGACTTACCCAACCTGGCATTTAAATGTCAAACGTCAAAAAGTAAGAAATAACAAATAATGGCGAAGATATTTACCCCAACAAACCAAATCCGGCTAACAAACATCGCCGTAGTCCGCATGAAAAAAGGCGGAAAACGTTTCGAAATCGCTTGTTATCGAAATAAAGTTGTGTCATGGAGAAATCAAGTGTAAGTAGAGCGAGTACATTATTGCACAACTCGACTTAATTTTTGTAGTGAAAAAGACATAGATGAGGTTTTACAATCCCACACAGTCTTCACCAATGTTTCCAAAGGCCAAGTTGCGAAAAAAGAGGATTTAGTCAAGGCTTTCAATACCGAAGACCAAACAGAAATCTGCAGAGAAATCCTTATGAAGGGCGAATTGCAAGTCTCTGATAAAGAGCGCCACAGTCAAATCGATCAATTATTCAAAGATATCGCAACAACGGTTGCTGAAAAATGCATTAATCCGGAACTGAAACGTCCATATCCCGTCACAATCATAGAAAAAGCTATGAAAGATGCTCATTATTCAGTAAAACCAAACCAGTCAGCTAAACAACAAGCCCTTCAAGTGATTAAATTATTAAAAGAGCAAATTCCGCTCGAGCGAGCTAAAATGCGACTTAAGGTGATTTCAAAGGGAAAAATCGCAAAGAAATTTAAAGAAAAAATTAGCAAGATGGAGAGTGTTGAAATGGAAAAAGAAGACCGTGAAGACGACCAACTGACGCTAATTTTTGTAATAGATCCTGGCCACTTTAAAGAAATCGACACGATGGTGCAAGCGGAAACAAAGAATGGCTCTTATCTTGAAGTATTATCATACAAAGAGGTCGCTTCAGGTCTTGAGCAATTGTAATTTGTTTTGTTATTGTTATTTTATTAAAACTTTGTGTAAACTTTCCTATATACAAAATATAATAAATTATTGAGCTTGGACTTTCTCGTCTGGTTTGGGTATGTAGATGGACTCAGTCCTCTTATCTAATTTAGCTGCCATTCGTGAGACAATAAACAAAAAGTCTGACAGTCTATTGAGATAAATGAGTGCCTCATTATGTAAATGCCCTTCCTTCACCAAAGGAACAATCACGCGTTCTGTGCGACGACAAACCGCCCGTGCGACATGTAAAGACGCACTTGGGATTCCGCCCCCCTGAAACGCACAATTAACAACCAAGAAAATTCTCTCAGCTAAATTACAGGAATAATGTACTGTTCTGGCGGCGGCAACTGCTTTGAGTATTCCAAAATCCAATCTTCCAATTCTTTGGTGTAATTTTTCGAGATGATTTTTTTCGCCTGATCGTTCGAGCGTGAAATCGCCGTACTTAAATCTATAATTATTGTCTGTATTCGTTTGAGTTTATCTGAGTATTCGTGTTCCGCCTCTTGTGCATACTCGCGAGCCAAGCCTATGTGACTTAACAACTCCTCTGTGGCCCCAATAGCGTCAAAAATCTTCGAATCCTTCGGTAAAGTTTCAGATGTGAGGGTTTTAGACATGCCACGGTCACCCTCACGATTAAAATATTCCTGAGGGGGCTTCCTAAATATAATAAAAAATTTACAGTCACAGTTTCGCACAACTTACTTATCACAGTATTGACGTAAAAGGGAAGTCAATTGGGGCTGGAATAAACGGCGGAAGACCATCGTTTGGGGGAAAATTTGACAAGACGAAAATTCGACGGGATGGTGAGGTTAGGGTGGCGGTGGTAAAAGTTACGTCCACACCAGGAAAATTACTCTAATTATCACAAATTGACTAATTACGCAACCAGATTAAGCTGCACCAGTATTTTAATTAATCGCAAATGCTAGACTCTGATTATTCCTAAATTGTTATCACGAGTTCAATTTTTTTTTGGAACATAACCCCACATAACCTCAAAGTATGTCTAATACTTTGGTGCAATTTTCTCGGTTTAGTTTCATTAAAAATCAGTTAAATTACTGCACAAGTAAAGCTGATACGCCCCCGAAAGCGTTGTATAAGTACTTGATACGCCAATGTGAAAAATTACCCAAAAGCCCGCAAAAATATTACAAGTTTATGATCAAACAAGTAAGTCCGTAAAAATTGACTTAAAAAAGTGGTGCAAATATTTTAATTTTAAGAGTTTCAAACAGCACGTTAATGAAACAGACCCCCAACGTATCAAACAAATCGTTGCAAGGTCTTATGAGGACGCAGATTGGGTTTTGAAAAAAGTAAGTTGTGTGTGTGATTACTATAGAAAAAATTTGAATTCAATTTTTAGTACATTGGAAAACAATAGAATGGAGGAGGTCCCCCTAGTTAGAAGCTCCACTCAATTCCCTTTAGATAATTTTTGGAAAGCTGTTTTAGTATACCACAATAGACCCCACGTAATTAATCGCAAATTAGCAGCAATTGTGCCTCTCCTTTTTTGCAAAATCTCCCTCAACTGCTCTAGTATTAAACGCCTTAGAGACATTTTCACCTGGGAATCCCTCATTTATGAAATTAGAAAATTACCAGACTTGTCACAAGTCAGTCCACAATTCATTAAAAATATCACAGAAATATATGACAAAAAAGCCACAATTGAGGAAACGACTTTAGATACATTAGATAATTGTTACGAAGGCACTTTTTTATCAATTCGCCAATTACTTTCCCGTAAGAATAACGAAAAATGCTTCGAAATCGTAATTTTTGATAAAGACACCCAAACTGTTACTTTTTTCGCCGTTCAAGAACAAAACAGCCCGATTATGGCCCCCCGATTCCCATATCACATTCATTTGACTAAATCGGGTAACTTGACCATCATTTTGAACGAATTTGAGATTGCTGAAACGGCGAGTGCTGAATGGCTGGCTGATAAATTATTTCCAAAATTGATAAAATGGAGCGAAAACGACATTGAGGACAATTCTGTGATAAAATCTTTGAGTCTGATAGCACCTGGTGAATACTGCACGCTTTATTCCGAACTCAAGACAAAATATGGTAAAAATTTAGTCGAAAAGTGGCCCCAAAAAGCCAAAACTGACCCCCAGAAATACGTCTATGAAGACATTGCAATTGCGACGTACTTAATCTGTTTATGGAAATATTTGGGAGTTGAAAATATTAGTTTCGTGGACTGTGGGTGCGGCAATGGCCTTCTCGTCTATATTTTAAATCAGGAAGGTTTCAAGGGCTGTGGTTATGATATTAGAAGTCGACAAGTTTGGGAGATTTATGGGGGTGGAATCGATCTTCGCATAGGGGCAGTCACGCCAGAATCGACTTATTCAGACGCCACTTGGCTCATTGGTAATCACTCGGACGAGCTTACACCTTGGATTCCGATCATTGCTCTTAACAGTTCACCCAAGACGAATTTTTTCGTTCTGCCTTGTTGCCCATACGACTTAAGTGGTCGCAAATATGTTAGAATTAATGCTACACTAAGCCAGTATGGAGACTATTTAGATTATGTTAAAAATATTTCCACAATGTGTGGATTTACGACATCGGTAGACAAGTTGAGGATTCCGTCAACGAAAAGAACTTGTCTTGTGGGAATCAGAGATAATCCTGAAGTTGAGGAAACAAGACAAAAAATGAAGGAATTTGTTGAAAAAAATACAAGGGATTTTGTACCGCGAGAGCCGGTCGAGAAAGTCCGGAATTGTACGAGACTTGACCCGGATTTGAAGAAAAGGATTATTAATTTGATCGTTGACGAATTGCTTCACACACCCTGTAATATTTGGATAGGAGGGCAGGGAAGGTCAGATTGGAATACAGGAGGGACACTGACTTTGAAAGACTTGAGCCAAAAGGTTTCAAATGAAGATCGCAAAGCACTCAAAAATGAATGTGGGGGACTCCAAACTCTGATAAAAAATCACCGGTATATTTTCAAACTCAATAAAACGTGGGTCGCACTACGAGTCCCCCCAACTCTCAAACAAACTGACAAATACAAGGACAAACCTTGCTGGTTTCATGAAAATTATCCACATGGTTGCTTTAACTCCGCAGAAATTTGTTGTTACAAACATGTAGAAAAGAATTAATTTTTTATTTGTAAAAAAGTTTGAACAATAAAATTATTTTTGAAGCATCTCCAAGTTTTATTCATACGTCAAAATGTACAAAAAAAGTGAAGACACCTTTTATATAATTCCAATTTTGTTTGCTACATCTAACGCGTCGTAGTCTCTGGCTAATCTTACATAAGCCTTCTTCTTACCATCGGGCCTAATCAAAGAATTAACTTTTGCCACATTAATGTCATACAACTTTTTAACAGCGGCCCTAATGTGGTGTTTGTTAGCCCTTGTATGTACCAAAAATACCAAAGTGTTATTATCCTCAATTTTCTTCATTGCGGCTTCAGTAGTCAAAGGATATTTGATGATATTGTAAGCGTCCATCCTAGTCCTGCTTGGGACCGATTTCCTGGGATATTTGGGATTCCTCGGCGGTCTGAAAGTCTTAGGGCGGTGGAAATGCACCGACGTCCTAATCTTCCTCGCGTGCGTCCCATTTGGCCCCTTGATAACTTTCTTTTGTACCTTCAAAGCCTTCTGAACCGGAGCCGCAGGCACTACTTTCTTCCCAACTCCCTTCTGTTGTTTAACTGGAACGGTCTTTTTGGGCTTCGTCACGATAGCCTTTGGCGGAATTTTCGGTTTTCCGGCAACTTTAGTCGCTGGTTGCTTCTTGGCTCCAGCCTTGGCCGCAGTTTTAGCCGCGGGTTTGCCCGCAGCTTTGGCGGTGGCCTTAGCGGCGGGTTTAGCCCCGGATTTGGGCTTAGAGGCGGCGGCCGGCGCCGATTTCGCACTTCCAGAAACCTTAGCCGCGGCAGCAGGCTTGGGGGCGGGTGTTTTCGACGTCGCTTTTTTCTCAGCTGGCTTGGCCGAACCGGTCGCTCCTGAGGCCTTAGCGGCGGCTTTAGGGGCCGGGGCGACTTTAGACGAAGTCCCAGCACCAGAGGCAGCAGCGGGGGCGGATGCCGGCTTCTTCTTCTCTTCTTTTTTGCCAGCTGTAAGTTCATCAGTAAGAAATTTGGACGACATAACCTCAATTCGAGACAGGGGTAAATAGAATCAGTGGTGTGAATTTGGGTGTTTTCATGGAACTCAAAGAGATTCCCGCACAATAAATCATCATTCTGGGGGTCGATTTAGTGATAAAAACATAGATTTTTGGGGAAATAATAACATGTGGATGGTGGCCGCGTGGCCGTCTTGTCATATTGTTTTTGTTGAGTTCAAGACAATCGAATTGAAATAAATCAAACTTGGGGTTAAAAAGGACGACTTTATTTAACAAATTTAAGTTTGTTGGAGTTGGAAAACGTGAACTCACCGGATTTATCCGCTGATTTTGGTTTTGTAGGAGCCATGTTTGTCACGGTCACACAGTAAAGGGAGTAATTTTACGAATGGCCGCCGGAAAGCGCTGAATGCGCTTCATCCGGCCATTTTGACAACGCGCGGACTTCAAACTTGACATATCAATAAATGAAAACTTTTTTATACTCTGTAGGGCCCGAAGGCTGTCGAGTCGTGGTATCAATACACTGATAACATTTAACAGCAATCGCTAACCTATTCGACATTAATTTTAAGTTACATTTTTTACAAAATACTTCGGGAAAAATGTCTTCGTAAATTTGGTTGATGATTTTGTCATCCGTCATTATCAAAGCTGCCGAAGTTGTGGGCTTCTTGTCACTATCATCGCTGCTGGTAGCATTGGTCCCATGGTAGGTTTTTTCCAAAATTTCTAATGTACATTTTAATGTATCTATATCTTTCTCGTCGTAATAAAGAGATTCTTCTCCACAACTCTTACTTGTTGTTTCATAACTGAAAAGAAGGACAGCCAAAGTGACTAGTCCGATGCTTAATTTAGTCATTTTCGTCTGTTTCACTGAAAATTTGGCTTAATGATGGTAATTGAATCGAATGAGAGAAACTATAATTGTCAGAATGACTCGAAAACGTCAGATTACCTCTTGTTATTTGATTATTTTTTCAAACAAAATGCTGAATCACCCTGTATAATTATAATTATCGTCCCGAAAAGACTGTTTCATTTTAAAGAGAAAATGACCAAGAAACTCGATCATTACAACTCGTCAAATCTTTGATAAAAAGCAACAAAATTACAGAAAGTCGTTTCCTGTGAAACCTCTGTTTTGCATGTTAATCTAGTTTGAAAAACGCCTGTTCCACTTTCATGCCCTGTGGGTGCACCTATTTTGAATAAACCGTTGGATGGGAACACAATCAATTAACATCTTCATTAATAAATATTTAAGAAGAGCGTTAAGCAATGTAAAGACCTGAAAAGACGTTGAATTTATTACCGCGCCCGAACCTTTTAACTGAAAAATTTACATTTCCTCGTATTTATTATAAGGTCAGTCGATTTACGCAAAAGCCACAATAAAATTGTTGCAAAGGAAACGAAAAGGATATTACGCGGAATGAAAATATTTTCTCAAAAAATGGAAATGGGTACTTATTCACTACGTTACAAGAATATCAGTTTTTATTCAGTCGGTACGTTATTTATGGGGAAATTATTCGGAATTCTGGTCAGGTCTAAATTATAAAACAAATAAATACGCAAATGAGTCTGTAACAAAAACTATCCTAAGATAATTATCTCGAGTAAATTATTGTTATCGTTTTGGTGTTAATTTAAATAAAACTGGAAAAAAAACAATAAACGTCAGACGCGAAATATGGGTTCAAATACTTCCAGAAATGTAGAACAATTTTGTGATTCTGAACATTCCCAATCTTCAAAAAAAACTTCAAATCATGCGGAAATTTCAATGCTAGCACACATTATCATAGCGACTTATCTCGATAATCTAAAATAAAAAGAGATACATTCTTCTTTATACGACTTATGGACTTCATGTGACAGAAGTTATCTCTTTTGCAATAGTGACAAAGATTGATTATTTTGTCATAATAAATCTCATCATATCACAATCAACTAATTCGATTGATCGTAAAGTGAGATCCAGGCGTGTGCTTCCCCCTCCTCAAATATCCCGAAGAAAAGAAACTTTTTCTTGCATAAAGAACCAAACCAAGTGGAAACCAATTCGATACTTTTCACTTTTCCCTTCGCCCTTCAACCTTTGTGTCAGTATCAACCTGCGGGCACCCTTAGCCCACGCACCCAGTCCTTTACCATTGCAAGGTAACCATCGTGGTCGTGCTTGGCGTGTGCCCCACCACAATTTCGAGGGACGAGGGGGACCATAACAAACAACAACCAGCACACAACATGGTGCCCGAGTCAGTCACACATCGTCTACTTCTCGGAGTCGTTAGTCTCCATAGTGGCCGTTGTTTACATTCGGCAACACTTGTGCCCTTTTCCACTCGAAAACTATGTTGTGGACTTGTTGTTCGTCCCCATGTCGTGCTCCGGTGACCAGGTGATTTTCGAAATGAACGCCAGACATCGACGATTTTTACAGACTCTTTCGTTGGCCGCTCTTCTCGCATACACCGCGCTCTTCGCCTACCAAACGCTCTCACGTGGAGGAGTCGTCGATGAAGAGGTAAGTTGGAAAAAGTGTCACGTAGCTTCGCGCCCTCATTGGTATTCTTCTAGTTTTTTGATTTTTCAAAACTCAGGTGTGATTCAAAATATTCGAGGAACACTGATAAAAAATCGAAGTTTTTCGCTGTAGGCATTTGAAAAGCATAATTTTTGTAAGGAGTTTTCCAAACTTTTTGCGACATCGAAAAGTGGAAAAAAGTTCATTAATTTTTAAGCGGGAGTTTCGGTTGGCTTCAACTTTCATTAATTTTTGTCGATTTTCACAAGTAAAATTTAAAAAATAAATGATTACTTCTCTAATTGATTTTTTTCTTAAATCTCGCATAATTCAAATTTTTATATCTTAAACAGAGCAACATTTTGCAATATCATGTCTTTAAAAGCTTCTGTTTTTCACTTTACTTAGTTCTAAGTATAAATAATATTTAAATCCTAAGAATATTTTATCAATTTGTCAATGTTAAAATATTGATTTGTATATTATAATCTAAGATTGCAGTAAATGCAGCTAAAATATCAGCTTTTCTCGCTGCTTTGTGAATGAAAAAGTGATTATCTTATCAAAATTGGGATTTCTCGCATACAGCGGCGTCTTCGTTTGAAAACCGCTCTCATGGATGTCGATGAAGTCGCACACACGTTAGAAAAATTGTCACGTAGATTTGACGTTCTCATTGGTATTCTTGGTTGGGAGTGTCACCACTTGTTGATGCGCCTGGCACCATCGTTTTAAGGGTGCTTTTCTCCCCCAGGATACGCACGCGAAGAGATAATTTCAATTTGTCAACTGCACGGTTTTAGTAGCTGACGTTCATAGAAAACGACTTTCGAGATTAGAAAGTGTCGTGTTTTAACGATGGCTTTTTCACTATTAACAAAGTGAGGAATTTTTGCTCATTTTCTAGTTCCGACGTGTTACAAATCTTCCAGTTCAAACATTCTGTCACGGCCAGAAATTTATTGCTTACAACCCTTGCATATCATTACGCGGGGGTCATTAAATTAATGATGTAAACACACACCAGACATGCGGTTCAACTCCATATATTCGTATAATTATTGTGATAAAAAACTCAACTCCCTCTATTGAGGAATTATTTCTATTGAGCGATTGTTGTCGGAAATTGTATTTCCTTTTTACTCACAACAGGAATTAAATCGATTTCCTCTCCATTAAAAAGCTTTATTTTAAATACATGACGTTTTTTACAAACGTTGAATAAGTTAAAAGGGATTTTTGTCGCACAAACTCAAATAATAAACCCGATTTTTTAAGATTAATGGCTTTATTTTGCACAATTGGGGAAACTTCTCCGGGTAAACACATTCAACAAATTTTAATGCAATATGATCGGTCTACAGAGAGTAACAAAAACCACCCGTTCATTCTTTTTTTTTTGATCACTCTCTCAAAAAATTCTATTTAGTTCGGTTGAAATATCACTTTTTATAATTGAATTTTGGGCCTTTCAATGATGTTTCACTTATCATGATTTGGAAAGGCGAGAAATGTCGAAATGAGAGCAAACTATTAAAAGTTTGATTGTAACAACACTTGGGTGAAGTTACATCATTGATCGATGCTCTTTTATTCTATTTGATAGAACGAGAAATGTTGGCAGCAGTGGAAGAAAAACGACCTTTGACCAATAAGCTATTTATTTAAGATTTTAAAACATTTCATATGTAAATACGATGAATAAATAAAATAAATCACTTTTCTAGTAATATTGAAAATTAAATAACAAAACCGATAGAAAACTGACTAAAATAAAACCTACTTTGGAAAGAATTAAAAAATTTCCGTATCTTTTCTTCAACCTTGGGAACTAAATTAATGAAACGAATTAATTTTAATTAACGAGCTGGCCGATTGTGTAATCTTGCATCTCATAACTTTTGGGTGTTGCTATTCGAAATTAGCCCAAAGGCGTTCATTGCAAACGTAAAATTAATTATAGCTGAATTAAATTTTTGACAGGAGGTATTTTTAGATCACCAGATATCAAAATTATAATCCCGAAATGGATATATTAATTTTGACATGGTATCATTTAAATTTTATCGTATTTCTGATCTGATATTAACTAACACATTATTTACATTTCTAAGTATTATTTTTCTCGTGCCAAGGACACAAATTGGTATATATGTATTTTTTTTTCAACCTCAATCAATGTTGGTTTAAAAATACGTAAAACTTTTCCCATTGTCGTCCCTCTTGAACCAGAATTATCTCTTTCACGACTCGTAACGCAACCATAAATTAAAATGATGTACGTGGATAGGTCAATCGTTATTATTTCGGCAACGTGTGAATGAGAACCGCCCTCTACTTTTCGCCCACTTTCTATGTCCCACGGGAAAATCCCCATATCCACAAACCGTCCAAAACTGCGTAATAGTAGCACTAATTCGTCGATTAAATTGCTCCGAGGTGTAAGAATGAATTCTTCCAATTCCGATGTCCGTCCTGCTACCGCTACAAAACTGGTCGAAAAATCCGAGTTTTATTTTTCTTGCTTTCAGAACGTCCTCGCCGAAAAACTCCACCAGAGAGCCCCTCTCGAGGAGCCGTCCGTGACCAGCGAGACCTCTTCGGCGACGGCGACCCTTCGGCCACCCTCCACTGTCCTCGACGACGTCTTCATCAGCGTGAAAACCACCAAAAATTACCATCGCCAGCGACTGCCCATCATCCTCAAAACGTGGTTCCAGTTGGCCAAAGCCCAGGTAAAAAACTTGACATTTGACGCGTGTCACCCTCGTGGGAATTGTTTCCCCCTTTGGGGCGCTATCGTCGAGCGGAACGCCCCATTATCAACGAAACAAAAACTCTGATCGCACTCCCACGGGTGCCGTTCGGGCCCCCCTCGAATTTCGTTTGTCCGAATAGTAAATTGACGACATCCTCGTAATTATTATAATAAACATTGCCCGGTCCGGAGTCTAACTAGGTTCATTGTGTAGAAACTAGAATTCCCACGGGTTTTATCTCGCGTTTACAAATTTCGATGACCAAGGCCTTATCGACCAAGAAGACGCTGAGTTTACTTAAACTCGCTATCTTATTCTTAAGATTGTGTTTGCTCAGACGGTGGATAAGGGAGGCATTGTTGCGAATCGAGGAGGAAATTGCGGTAACGATAAGATCCGACAGGTTCTCACCTGTATTTTTCATAGCGGAAAAATCGCACACAAAGCTGAATTAGAATTATAATTGCGCGAGAAACGGTTAAATAATCGTTTTATTAAAGTACAAGAACGGAAACTTGCTCTTTTATTTACACTGAAGATTGCGGATTTTTTGGCGGTCGTTTTGTTTGTTCTATTGATGAGTTCTTGGGCGTAATTAGATATCTTGACTGAATTATGAAGCTTTTACGCATAATCGAGTTAATGTCGTAACTCGTTAATTTTTTTTTATCCTGTCATTGCTATGAAAGATGGTGCACTAACGAGCCGATTGAATACAACAAAACGCTCGCAAATAAGCGGAAATTCAAATCTTTTCCCAAATAGTTTACAGAATAAATTGAAACCAAAAAAGCCAACTTGTAACTTAATTCACGCCCTGACAAACGATACTTGCTCGTTACACTATATTATAATACATAGATGCACACGCCTCTCTATCGATTTGCGATGATACTCAAATTTCAATAGTTACAATATTTTAAAAAGAGTTTTGGCATAAAACCCTGAAAATTGTTCTCTCAAAATTTCCATTTTATTTTATTTTTCCATTTTATTTTTAATTAGAAATCAAAAATGGAATTAAAACGGGATACAAAGATTATTACTTTTTAATTTTGCAAATGTTTGAAATCACATGAAATGAATTTTTTTTTATGCAGAAAATCTTGCACAACATTTACACACATGGTTCAAGGTATGCTTTCCATTTCACGACTATTTGTTTGTCCATCAGGACCGTCATTTAGTCAAAAGTCAAAATGGTCAACAGACTTATCTATCAAATAAAAAACGCAACATCTGCTCACGACTCTCAGAAAGATAAGAAAAAGTATTAAAAGAATCAAAGTTGTAGCCATGTTACTTGATAGCGTCAAAGTTTTCCTTTTGACCCCTCACGAAGCAATCCGATCCATCATTTTCGGACAATCACTGTCAGAAAAATGGACATTTTCGCCCCTATAGCGTTTATCAAACCGAAATTTTTCTTTAATGAGCGAAATTAAAACCCTCATAGCCTGAAACTCTGGCCTTTGTGTCTGCCCGCTTCAGGTGCGTGCTTAGATGCAAACATCGATTAGAAATCCGATATAGTCTCGAGGGTGCTGCTGAGTAGGCATATGGGGGTGCGAGACATTTTAATGGTTTTAGGCTTGGCAAAGGCAACGTTTGTTGTTTTAATTTGAGAAGGGACCAGCAGGTCCGCCTCAAATGTGTGTGCTCAAGCGTTTTCCGGATAGCTCCTTTTGTAAAATATTTGGATAAGTGGCGAAGGCTTCGAGCTTTACATACAATCAAGTAAATAAATAAGGAATGCACACGCGGTGTGGTGCCTGGATTCGTATCTGCCGTAAAAATACATTAGAATACATTTCGCACCCCCAACAACGATTTTTATTTGAGATGGATGAGTAGAGGGTTGCGAAAAAAATTCGACCGGGGTAAACTTGGACAAATATGGACACACGTAGGCAAATATTGCCACTTTTATCGCCGGTTTAAAGGCTTTTGTGGAGCACAAATCATAAAAATCATTATCTCGATTGAATTTTTTCGAGCAAATGGAGTAAAAGCGGGATCTTGAACATGTGTGAGGCGTGGGAAACGACGCACTCCCCTTTAATGTGGCGCCGTTAATTTTTTAGTCCAACATCATGGAGATAATTTCAAACTTTTCTTGTCTTTTGCAGACTTGGTTTTTCACCGACACGGACGATCCGGAATTTCAGCTAAAAACAAGTAAGTCTATTTTATGTAAAGTAGTAACAATAAAGAAGATCTCTAATCAAAGAATTTCCTGTTGTTATCCGCTGGTCGGTGATATTATGCAGGTGCTCTCCATGCTTCAGTTGCCGCATTTATTTATAAAATCGCCACATTCCAGACCCTTTGTGTCGGTCGTAGACTTTTTCCCTCCAAAAATCGCTTTGTTTCAAAGACCGAGTTCTAGGTCATTGCCGCCACTTTTAATTTCTTTTTTATGACAAAAATGTAGTGCATGTGTGCGTCTAGCATGACAGAACCTCCAACCAGTAATTCACTCTCGATTCCAGATGGCCATATGATCAACACCAACTGTTCTTCGTCGCATAACAGGAAGGCACTGTGCTGCAAGATGTCAGTCGAGTTTGACACTTTCATTGATACCGACAAAAAGTGAGTACATTTTCGAAGCACTTTCCGCGACTTCAATTATCATTTTTCACACTCGAGGGAGCACAAAGATTAATGAAAATCGGAGTCGGGGCCGATTTTAGCTATTATTCTAATTCGAAACTTTGTAACAGTCACGTGATAAATGATACTCAAATTAAGCTGTAAATTATCCTGAAATTCATATACAAAGAGCCAAGGGAGGCCTGAAATATTGTTTCTTTACTGGAACGTCGCCGACGATAGAACTTTGGAATTGTGTGACGGGAGTTGGGGATTTTGATGGGTTCTTGCACAACTCCAACGACGCTATTCACGTAATTGAAACGAAAAAAGTGTCTTTCGCTCGGTAAGCGGTTTTGTTATTTGCTCTGTGATACCTTTAAACTCTCGTCAATAATGAAAACGGAAAATCCGATTCTAAAGAAATTTACTAGTTTCGCTAAACCGTATCGAAAGGACTTTATTGAAAGTTATAACAGTCACCTTTCGACGGCTTTGTCCGAGATACCCTCCTATAGTTTTCAATTAACACAAGAAAGAGAACACAAAACACATTTTTTTCTTGATGCGAATATCAAATTATTTTTTGTGATTTTGCTCACATACATATTTCGTTTTTCAACCAATACAGACAATACTAAAAGCTTTTAGCCGACCGAAACCCCATTAATAATTTCCACGCAAAATAAACTTGGAGGTTGTTTTTACAAAAAGATAAATCACCGAAGATTTTCAATGTGACATTCCAAAAGACAGGTGGTAGCAAGGTAATATGAAATTTAATACACGAACACCTGAATGACATTAAATGTGCAAGGTTAAATTGGAACCTGACTACCTGAGGTTTCAATTTACCCCTAAATATAGTTCTTCCTTCCTCAATCATCTCGACAAATCTTGATTTCTGGTAATTAACCAACGGGCAAAAAATAATTGGACCCCACAACTTTTTAGAAAAGTTGTAAAACATCTGTTCTAAATTGGAAGCTATTATTTATGACAGATAATTGCCAGATTGTATAACTCGTGTCGGCGAGTCTAGAGGGCACCCATCTCAAGTGGTACAAACGTTATTTTTTTAAGAGTTTACTTTTTGTAATAATCGCAAGAAGCATGAATCTGTGTAGAACTTCATCTTGTAATTGACGGACCGGTTGAGGCAATTTATTCACAGATTACGCTTCATAAACACACAATTGAAACATCCGCTCTTTATTACCGACAACAAGTCCGAAAGGAAAAAACGGCACAAACTACATTTTATGTTTTAAACTGATGTCAGTTTAATATAAAAGTGGCGTCTGCGTGCGACACGCAACCTTTTCATTTCCAAAGTCGCCCCATTTGCACGTGAATAGAAACGGTCCTGTGAGCAACCCGTGTGTAACGGCCCCAAAATTGACACGTAAAGGCGTTGCATCCGGACTCGACTATTTAAAATTTAAATTTGAATGCGTCTGGCGTCACCTTACAAATTAAAATTTACGATTATAATCTTGATAAAATGGGCGGATCATGGTGATTACTTTGTATATTTTTGTGTTCGAGTTTTAACGCCCGGATTTTAATTGGAAAGCTAATTCGTGATTAAAATTGACCTCTGCGAGGGGAAACATTTTTTTCTTGGAAATAAATCACGGATCTTGATTAAAATCGATCGGATTCGGATGATTTGCGGCCGGTCTGCAAATTACATCGGTTGGAATTTTTTACGGGAGCTTTTCTCAAGTCCACGCATGGAAATTCATGGCACGTAGGGGGCCCAGTTTTGGTTTTTGTCCCCCAATGTCGGAATTATTGTTTATGTTTAACGTTACGGTTTAATTAAAGCGCGTCTGGTTTTAATATCGAGGAAAAAAACGTGACACTTTCGCGACGTCCTACCGACTGCGCCAATTATTTGAGACTTGACTAGAATTACGCATTTTGAGGATACCAACTATGAAATAATAGTCTTGATGGACGATGCGGGCGTTGTACAGTCTCTTACCCCGTTCAAAATTCTAAAGCTCTGGCACCTCGTCACCCTTCCTCATCACCGTTTGAATAATCCTTATTCGTAGCTGTCGGCTTTTGAATTCACCACAAAGATAAACCATCTTTCTTGTATTATGTCCGATAAAAAGCCTGTCTTTGTTGCATCGTCAGACGTTCGAGGGTCGATTTTTTCCTCTCTCTTGTTCTTGATCGATAGTGAAAATATTAATTACCGTGTTTAACACAACAGATCGGAATAATCAAAAGAACAATTTATTAATCTGAAACAGTATCGATAAAATCGGACGTCCTACACGATTCGTACGTTTATTAATCTTATTACGTTGGCCATGAGTGATCTTTCTCATTTTTCATTCGAAAACGTTTATGTCTGACCCAGGGGGTAGCGCAACAAGTTCTGCGCGAGTCGCGGAAGAATCACTATAACTTGTCGTAAAAGTGACACGTGACTTAACCTAACCGAACCGAAACAACAATTTTTCCTCTCTAGTCAACGCAACAGGACGCAATAAACCCAACCGAAATGAAAAAAAGTCAAAGAGAAAAATAACAACGCACCGCGAGCGTATTCTCCTTGTGAATAAATTATAAAATCGCAACGGGGGCACCAATTATCCGATCATTGCGTATCCATGGTAGTGATTTATAATATCCGATGGGGCGACGTCGGGCAGATGCGGACAAGATTATAATTAACAGAACCCGTTCTCTTCAACGTCCACTCAAAACCTTATCTAATATCATTAAATATTAAGTAGATTCGATTTCAATTAAACCAAGGACGAGAAGTACGAAGTTTCTTAATTTGCTAAAATGTCCCACCCGAACGTTTCGCTACGGAAATAAATCTCGATTTTACGAGAAAATGGTTTTAACCTGGGTTTTGGGTTCTTTTTCTAATCGTTGATTAGTGACGAGTTTGACACGGTTAATTCTTAATGCCGCGCCCAAATTATTTCACTGTTTCATTAGTTATGGATTTTTTTTCTCGTTTAGTGTTTAATGGTTTACTTTCTAGTTTGACTAGTGACTATCATCCATCAAGTTTCTTCTAACACTTAATTAAAGCGGAGGCAGCACTTCTTCGTTAATTATCGACTGTGATTTCTTCATATCGGGAGAAAAAAGAAGAAATAAGTACCTGATTGAGTTACCAAGAACCAATCGATTGTCATTTAATTAATTAATTGGTCAATTTAAGCCGTCAGAATTGCATATAAAATTTCATCTTTATCCATTTACACAGTGACTACCTTTCTCATTTTGAAAAATTTAATAAAAGCGCAATATATATCCAGTTTTCGTCTTTTCTAAGCTTCTTACATTAATATGTTTGCGTCATCCAGAAGATTACACTGCATGTCAGACGACGCTCTGTCGGTTTCTCAAGGAAGTTCACCATTTTCTTCAAAACACGAAATTGTGTGTTAATTGTTCCATTAAAGAGGCGAATCCGATCCGGATGATACGCTCCAGGATAATCCGGCGTACTATTCCGAAATGAATTAAATTTTTATGCACGATTTCGTCTTTTAATAGCGCACAAATTTTAAATTAACCGCCCCAAATTGGATTGTTTCGATCGGTTTTATGACGGAATTGCTACTGTTCTCTGACGGCCATATGGCGTCCCGTAGATAGTATTTCATGAGGTAACGTGAGATACCGGAAAAATTCGAGAAGGGAAATTTGAGGCTAAATAATACCTTCCTTTTACCGAAAAATAAATATTTTTGCCGGTACAAAGCGGGGCAAGACGATACAACCTGTAATCTCACCTCTTGCTTGTTGGAAAAAAAATCATAAATGTAAAGGTATACGATTGTGTAATGGATATGTCAATTTTTAATCACATCTGTAATCGAGCCACGTCATGCGTTTGCTAAACAATTCTATTACGTATCTAAAATTTTTGAGTCATATGACATAAACATGATACATTCAGAAAATTTAGAATTTTTCCTAGAGTTCAAAAAGAAAAACAACAGCTCAGAAAACGCAAAATAACAAATAACTAGTTGTGTGTGGAATTAACGGATTACGATAGCAGAGCAAAAAGTAGATTACATTTAAAAAAAAAAGTTGGGAGACCAGATTTATAGGAAGTAGGTGGAGTTAATAAAAATGGTATCTTAGCCGACTATTAACACCTGCCTATGAATTGATTCCGCCCATCGTAGGTATTGACCTAATTGCGATTGGGTTTTGTTGTGAGGCAACATTTTTTAGTAACAATTTGTCCGATAAACTCGAAAACAAATTACATCCTCGCTTGAAGTTATGTAAAAATTAGCATATCACGTTCTTTAGCATCATCAGCGATCCGATTTGATCGCCGACATCTGTTCCCTGTCTCTCAAACATTTTGGTATCAGACACACGTCATCCCTGGCAGCCCCTCAACATTATTCTCCGGCTCCAAGCAGTGTTTTGTCAACTTGATTATCGTATTTTTCTCTTTTTGTCCGTCTAATCAAATAAGAAATCTCTCCATTCGGACATTCATCAGTCACGTTTCTTAGTAATTCATCAAAATCTCCATGTACGATCGATCATTTGTTCGCAGGTGGTTCTGCCACTTCGACGACGACAACTACGTCAACGTACCTCGACTAGTCCGCTTCCTGGGGGATTACAATCCGAGAGAAGACTGGTATTTGGGCAAGCCCAGCATCCAAGCACCGTTGGAGATAATCAATAAGGAGAAAAAACCGACGGTGAGTGGAATTAAATGCGGAACTCGGCTTCGGATGGCTTCATAAATCGTGACCTGGGCCGGTAGCAATGCCGCGAGCTTTTCCTGGTGAAGGACCACGCCTTAGTATGCACGCGAGCGGCGTGCGTGGAAAGGGGGGCGGAAAACTTATTTATGTTGTACAACTAAGCCTTGTTTGTATCGAGTTTCAGCTAAACACAATGTTTGCATTTAGACGCTTTCGGCGAGGCATCGCTCTGGCCAGACGTGAAATCAAACAGTATCGCTTACATTGCAACAGTAAAAAAATTGTGTATAAATCGGTGCCCTAGGGCGACTTCATCGGGGACCACCTCGCGTAGGCGTCTCTCGTCGTAGCAATCTCATCATCGTCGGCCATAATAATACGTATCGAGGTGCACCCAGGGCACCCGTTGATGAACGGCTGCGTGTGCCAGATCTCTAGGCGCGTTCAACCAAGTGGAAAGTCCGTCCCTATCACCTCCAGCTATCTGCGGACGACCTGGCTGCCGGCCAGGAAGCGATCCACAACAAAACTTAATAAATCGCCTTTTACCGATCAAATGTATTATTTTTGCGATTTCTAATTGGAACGCGTCTTTTCTTCTTGTTAACCGCTATGAAAACGTTCAAGCCAGTTTTATGACCGCGAAGCGGTTGCGGTTTTTAATTGTAATTATGTAACGCCGCAGGAAGACGCATAACGAGAAACAAATCGACGAAACAATGATCGTAAAAATCAAACAAGGGACCTCCAGGTGAAAAATACATAAAAACTCGAAAATAAATATTTCACGCAGCTCCTCTAATGAACTGTCTGGAATCTTCATAAGATGATGATTTGTGATTTGCGCTCAATTTGCAAAAATACTCTAAAGTTGCAGCGCGACACTGAGTTGGTCAGGATTTTAAAATTAGATTTATTGTATTTAGGTATTAACTAGCTTGCACCCGTGACTTCGTCCACGTAGATTTTCGATGTAAATTTTTGTTGTTTCTTAAAGAAGAAATGGAAGTTAGTCTGTTTATCTATTTTTTTCTTGATTCATCAACTCAAAACAACGCGGGAGCATCAGAAACCCGATTTTTAAAAGAATGACGAAAGTACGTTATAAACGCTTCACCTCGTCGAATTTTCAAAAAGTGTCTTCTTAGTGCATTTCTACACCCTCAAATCTCAAAATTTAAAATTTTATATTTATATTTTTATTTAAATGTTTGCACCTAATTTCATCCCGTTATAGGTTGGTTTTTGATAAGTGCCTGATTAGTGCACTTCTCTACTCTCTAAGAAAAATATTTTCCAAATTGCATGTTTCTATCTTCGTTTAAACATGTACACCTCATTTCACCCGCTTAAAAAATGATTATTAAAAATCTCGTCTTAGTGCACCTTTACAACAGCCAAAGAACATATCTTCCAAATTTTATGTTTCTATCTTCGTTTAAGTGTTGACATATTTCACCCTTTTGTAAATATAATTTCAAAAAATCCTTTCTTAGCGGACCTCTACACCCTCTAAAGAATATGTTTGCCAAATATTATGTTTTTATTTTCGTTTAAATGTTTACACCCCATTTCATCCCCTTATAGATTGATTATAGAAAAATCCTTCCTTAACGAACCTCTACACACTCTAAAGAACATATTGTCCAAATTTCATGTTTTTATTTTTGATTAAAAGTGTACACTCCGTTCCACCGTTCCACTCCCTTTTCTAAAGCGGTAAATAAATTTTTACTTATTATTAAAAAAAATCTTGTCCTAGTGCATTTTTACAACTGATAAGGAACATATTTTCTAAATTTTTTCTTTCTATCTTTGTTTAAATATTTACACCCCATTTCATCCCCCTAGAGATTCGTTTTCGAAAATTTTTTTCTTAGCGAACCTGTACACCCTTTAAGAAACATATCTTCTAAATTTAATATTTCTATTTTCGTTTAAACTTATACAACTCGTTTGACCCCCTTTTCTAAGAGAGTAAATAAGTTTTTTAATTATTTTTGAAAAATCTCGTCTTAGTGCACCTTCACAACCGCTAAGCAACATATCTTCCAAATTTTTTGTGTCTGTCTTGGTTTAAACGTTTACACCACATTTCACCCCCTTAGAAGTTGATTTTTTAAAAATCCTTTCTTAACGGACCTCTACACCCTCTAAGGAACATATCTGCCAAATGTCATGTTTGTAGCTTGAGTGGTTTAGGCTGTGCGTTGTCTGTCAGTCAGTCACGGAACTCTATACCAGGTGAATAAAAAGTATGGAACGAAGCGTTTTTCTCGTAAACTAAAAAAAATAATTAGTGTAGCGTAAAGTCCAATTAAAATGTGACCATTTATCAAGAATAACATTTTTCGCAATTTTTTTTAGTTGTCAATTTCTGGAATTTTTTTTTTAAATGGCAACCCTCTATGGTAATTTTTTAATTGAAGATTATGATCTAAAAATGACCTCTAATTAAACAGAATTGTTTTCTAGTCAGTACTTTTTTTTAAATAAATTGTTAAAGTTGCGTTCCGAGTCCATCACGAAGATTTACCGAACTTGAACGAGGGAGTCGTTTCATGACTTTGGTCGTTGAAGAGCCCGGTTTTTGGTGCAGGTGCTTTGGGGTGGTTCCGGATGGATCAAAAAATGTAAAAACAAATCATTTTCTTCTATTTTTAGTCCATTCGAAACCACCCCAAAGCACCTGCATAGAAATCAGCGCTCTCCCATGATGAAAAGCATGAAACAACCACTTCGGTTAAGTTCGGAAAATCTTCGTGATGAGCTCGGAACGCAACTTTAACAATTAATTAAAAAAAAAGTACTGGCTAAAAAACAATTTTATTTAATTAAAGGTCATTTTTAGATCATAATCTTTATTAAAAAAAATTATCATGGTGGGTTGCCATTAAAAAAAAATTTTTTTTTCTAAAACCTGAAAACTAAAAGAAATTTCGAAAAATGTTATTCTTGATAAATGGTCACATTTTAATTGGACTTTACGCTACACTAATTATTTTTGTTGTAAATTTTACGAGAAAAACGCTTCGTTCCATACTTTTTATTCACCTGGTATATATGTACATATACGAGTAGATAAACGACGAAAAAAATTACAAATTGTATTTTTAGAAGACTGCTGATTCCAAAAATTATTAAATTACTCAATTAGACTCACTACATAAACAGCTATCTAGACTTTTACACAAGATTTTTAATGAGTAAGTTTTTTATTTATTTGTTCTTGCAGTGTTGGTAGAGGTTTTACGATGAATTCTTGATGCAATTACTTATGTTTACACAGATGTTGAAAACGAGGGATAAAGTAGATGCAAAGTATCAATTTGCACGTAATAACGTTGAAAAAGTGTCAAAAAGCTGTTTTGTGATTCTTCGAAATTAACATAACCCGTTTGTTATTTTTCAGTTGTGCCTTGAAAATATTTTTCTGAAGATGACGTATGTCCAATTGTCTATAAATTTTGTTCAAAATTCGCATTTGTCGGGGGCTCGGTTTCCTCTCGCCCATCACGTCTGATTTATTTAAGGCCTCATTTAACGGTCGACCGCGCTCGACATTTGCTTTGAAAAGTCGAAAACTGGGCGTGTTCGTCGAGATACTGACGACCGACAACGTTGCTAACACACATGTCGGATGGAAAATAAATTGATATACAAGACAAAGTGCGCGGATCGTGACTGGAACACTTAGGCCTTTCTAATTTCTGCACAGAGAGACCGGTCCGTTAGAGAGCCACGGGGATCCTCGCCAACGCCCATAATAAACTCGATGGTAGTGGAGAAATAAATAAAAAAATCTCTGGTTCACTTCTGGTATTTCTAAGTGGCGTCGTCGATTACGACTATCATTAATCTTGTGCTATTTTAAAAATCGTGTGATTCGAATTTAATAAATATGGCCTCGTTTGCGACAACGTTTCGTGTAAATAGTTCACAGAGCTATAAAATTAATTGGCTGTTAAGGAAGCTCCAGTTCTTGGTAAATGTGGCGACAATTGGCGACATTTTTCACCAGAGAAAGTGAAAAAAATTGTACAATTAACAATTTTCATGTTAATATAATTGGTCGCTTAATTTATTCCAAGTCATGAATAATAAATCAAATAAAACATGAGGGCAATTGTTGTGATTTTAAAATTAATAAATAATCAAGTAAATTCCATTACTATTTTATCAACAATCACATCAGTCATACCTACACATTTTACAATTATTTCGAATTCTAGCATTATTTTTATAATGACCGGAAATCTAAACCTACGTAATTTCGTGCGAACGCGAAAGTAAAATTGTTTCTTATCTGTAATTATTTCATGTCAGGACGAAACGTTCCAATCGTTAATCGTCCTAAGTAGTACTGCAGTTGCATCCTTTTAATTGTAATTTATTATATGCACAGGTGTTCCACCAGGAAAAACTTCACCCTCGAGTAATTCTTGATCTCCAGACAGTAGAAAACATGTGGTTATAAATTTTCAAATGATTTCAAAAACCATTACTAATTGATTACGCTACGTGTAAGGTACGACTTATAAGCCGACATGTCCCATAGTGCGTGAAAATGAATTAATGTACAATTTATATAAAAAAATATGATAAATTGATAGTAGTGTCATATAAGTTATGCAAGGAGTTGTAGGGCTCAGTCACCAATCAAAGAAATTCCATCTTTGGGCTTGTAATAAAGGTTTTATTTTATTCCTTGCCTCGCGCCTGTTAATAAATTTTCAGGAGTCGCAAGTTGCATTTGCATGGAGATATGATGATTATATTACAAGACCTCCCGAATTGAACTTTTAGTTCAAACGCCACTCTGCCATAAAATATGCATCATGCATACAAGAAACATAATCTATTTTTATTAACTAGAATGTGAATGTGCATTTAAGAAAATAGAAAAATGACACGTTCATGAATAATCATGTTTCATGGCCGACCGCGATCACGAAACATCGTAATTTTTCACATATTCTACAGGGTGTAACTCAAATAATTCCATCGGCGGATGTTGTAAATAACTCGGCTTCGCGGTGGGCCGTGATTTAGTCGTCTCTAATGGCCGTAAACAAGATTGGCGGGTTTTTTCGTTTACGAGTGTTTGGAAATTTTGATTTGTGTAATAATTTATTCGACTGGATTCGAGTCGCTGTAATTAGACTAGAATTAAGTCACGGTAAAAGTCATTTATTTGATGTCGTTTTGGTCTATAATGTATTTTTGTATTATTTTTTTTTTCAGCAAAAAGTCAAGTTCTGGTTCGCCACGGGCGGCGCGGGTTTCTGCTTAAGTCGGGCGTTGGCCCTCAAGATGATGCCGGTAGCCAGGTGAGTCCGAAAAACGATCGACCATGATTCCGGGATGTTGTACATTGTTGATGGGTTTTGTACATTATGTGCAAGTTAATCAAACGCGACACCAAAGTGTTACTTCTACCTCGGTAAAGCGACGCTAATTGCCAGACGAGCCGTAAACAATATCGCGTGCACCAAAGGGAACGCCGATTTGGATACCTCGACAAGAAAAAGCTTTGTAATCAGGAAAAAATAAAAAAATCCAATAAATTGGTCCAAAGAAAGAATTTCTATTTCATTTTGCGACATTTGCTCAAAAATCTAAGTTAAAATACGCGGCGTCCATGGGCGTCGTTACAATTTTTTTTAGAGGGGGGCAACCTCATCGCAGTTTAAAAATAGATATTATTACAAACACAAAAACATGTCATACAAAATAGGAACATAAAACGATATTTTTTGTAACGGAAATTATAAATAAAACCATAAGACAGGGATCTCTAAAACCATAAATTGGAGTATAAAAGTGTAAAAGTTAAAAAATATAAAAAATATAAAAATTATGAAAGTTAAGCATAAAATAACACAAATCAACTAGTAATACTAAGAAAAATGTAACACTTGGAAATCAAAATAAAAACTCTTTCAAAATACATTCAAAAAAACAGTAATCAATAGAAATAAACAAATTGAAGGAATAAAAGTTTTAAATTTCGTTTTTCTCAACCAAAATCGTCTATGATAAAAAAGTTAAAAAATACTAAAAAAAATGTTTAAAAAAACAAGTTGCAAAAGGAGCGTGATTTTTACTAGATGTATGCAAAAAGCACCCATTTTGAATCGTGTTTTATACAAGATTTTTTCCAATTTGGTTGGGAAAAGCATAGGCATCAAATTCGAATTTAAAATCTATGATTTCAATAATTTTCCGAAATCATACTAGGTCGTAGCGTTGTTATGAAAATAGTGTTATTTGTTTTCTTGATGTCATACTTTTTAACACTAGTGATAAAATAATGTCATATAACTAGTGATAAAATTAAACACATTTGACAACTAAAATGACATATCACAATGGTTGCTTGTCACAACAAAATTGGAAAAAAATAGTTTACCGCTAACGGAATAAAACTTATTTTGAAAAAATGTCATACGCTAACTTCCAGAAGGGAGGGCACATGACCCACCTTGCTCCCCCCAAACGACGCCCATGACTGCGTCACAATTTTTTTATTATACATCTGTATGAAAAAAATTATAAAAAGGAAGCATTATACTTAATACGAACAGATACAAATCCAAATCATTGCTGCGTTGAAAATATTAAATAAATAGGTACATTTTTGTTAATGATCCACTTCAATTGTGGCGCACTATATATTTATTAACATTTTCTCAACGTAATAACTAATAATTATCACTTTTTTGTTCTGCATTTCACAAGAATGTGGTATCTTTACTGGTTCTTTTTCCACTCTCTAAATATCCTTTTCACTTCTTGCATCATCTCCACCTCTTTATTAAATGAAAAATCGCGTGCACGCGTATTTTACGACGTTGATCGGTACTTAAACTACCTCTCGGTAGTGGTCTTGTCGCAATTATGTCATTAACTGGTCCGGTTTGATGTATAATTATGTCGGGTTGCGCCGTTAAACCGTTAATGAAATAGGTCTATGAGTGACACACTCGAATCCTTCGATCCCGAAAATCCGTGAAGAAGAGTTGCTTTCAGCCGTCTTGAATCTTTAAAAAGTCTCCACGTCAATAATTCAACAAAAAAAAAATACTTGAACCGGACTGAATGAAGTGTTTGTAAGCTTCAAGCTTTATTAAATTTACCGTACATTATATTTACCTCTGAAGAACCGGTTGACTTTTTTCGTGTCGTGGACTCGGTGGTTATTACTGAGTGTTTAGTTTAATTAAACTGAGCCATTACAAAAATTGTTTAGAGGCGATTTTTTTTTGGTAGACAAGACAGTGGTGATTTTCGACCATAAAGCTACAGGTCGGTAAATTCTGGTAATAGCCCGAGTAATGCCCTCCTAAAAAACATTGTACTCACTATGAAGATGGGTCGAAAGCGTGTTATTACAAGACTAGACTTTGCTGAGCTTTTGAATCGTTTTACGACGTTGTAAAACTCCCGGAGTAAAAAGGGGTGAAGTCTTGCGAAATTAGATCGAAATTTTTCGATCGGTTGCCACTTAAAATTGCGGAATCCCGTGCAAAAACTGTCGGTCCGGCCGAATCGATTAATCCCTCACTAAAGTCTGAAAAGAGAGCTCATTACGGAATACTCCGGACGTTCTAATTCCGACAACAACAGAAACACAATATTTTATGGTCTCGTTAAGGAACGACTGGCATATTTCAGATTATCCGAATTACTAACGGCGATTTCGTCGGCCAATTACCAACCAAAATCATTCTTTTAAATGTATAATATAACGATAATCTCGCGTTTTATTATCGCATTTTTTTTTTAATTTTTACACGTGAATGAATTGAATTGATGGGAAATTCGATTTTTTCCGGCGTTTGTGGTGGTGTTTGTTCACAAACGAAATAACCGCGGATTGACGACGACGCAAAAGTGGAAGAATCCGGCGAATAAATTGCTTTTGTTCATTTCACACTTGTCCATTATCATAATAGCGAGACAGGAACGAAATTACGCGGTTTCATCGGAATGGGTGGTCAGAAAAATCGAAACTGTTTCACCCACAAGGAGAAAAAAGCACCAAGTTCAAACGTAATTCAATTATTCCCATATGAGCTCGTAAGACAAAAAAAAATTCTGAATATTTTCCCCGTCAATATAAATTCCAACAAATAACTCTTTTAATTAATTTAAGAGCACCTTAGTAAAAGTGTGCGTTATCGATCATCCTGTGTCAATTAAAATTTAATTTATTAAAATTATTACCGTGTTTTTATGAGATTATTTCGAAAACTTGATCGACCCGTAAATATTTTCGCTAATTATGATGTTTGCTCCGGGATATTAATAAACAACTGAAATTAACGGATTTTTTCATTCGGATTTCTTTCGGGGCCAGAGCAATGCGCGACTCACTTAATGACAATAATTTGACACTTATTTATGCAGAAATGAAGCCATTATCGCGCTCTTGGTCGAAAGTATGGTAATTTCATTAATGCACCACTTTCGCATTTTTTCAACTTTAGGAGAATTTCTACTGAATAAATTATAAGTCTCTTGAGATAAAATTTTCAATTTGTGTCATTTTGGCGTATCACCCTGTATATTAAGCTGAAGGAAATTTATGTCTCTATTAATTAAAACACAGCCCTCACTCTATCTGTACCAGTAATGTGATATTTTATTCCATTCAGAATTAATGTCTATTTCACGATATATTAGTATGTGGTGACAGTTGAAGCTGTTTCAACCCCATTATTTCGTTATTTATTGACGAATAAAATTTTCTCACCTTTGGTTTGTTGATCAATGAATGATGTGAAATTTGTCACACAATAAACGTACCTACTTTTACAAAATGAAACAGTTTGCGTTTAATTACTTACGAATTCTTTTATGAATTAACAATTAAACTCGCTGGGATTTTTCTCCAGTGTTTTATTAACAAAGAGTAGCGTTCGTGTTTTCGCCGTCAAAAATTATTAATAATAAACACTTCCTCCGGTGAGTATTGATCCTTGATTTTTTATTTCCGTCGTATAGTTTTGCGGGTCGCTTTTATTATCAGTCAATTCAATTCAATTTCTTTTTCAATCACGATAAATTCCGGCGCTAATCCGAAAAATCCGTCATGAATCAATCGGATGTTTTTTGATAATGTCCATTGTTCATAAATTTCGCCAGCAAACAGGAAATTAAATAAATTTTAATTTCACCCAAACGAGGAAGTTTCAATAATAAACTAGACCATCAGAACGTTTCTATTTATTTTAATTAAGTCAGCTAGATACCTATTTCCAGGATTTTTCATCCCAGCGTCATCGTTTAAGTGCTTCATTAGTGTAATTGTCGACAATCTCTCGGTTCAAAATTGATTTAATTCACTCTGAGTCATTTTTCTTAATTGCAAGTCCACTTTTCTCCACACATCGAACTTTTCCATTGATCGGGATCGAGTTTGGAACCCACGCGCTTTTAATTGGGTCCGGATTTTTCGGTCCTCATTAATTTTTATCTTTGAAACGAAGACGTTTTAAGAATTTTTTCTGAGAGACAAGGCCGCTGCATCCGTCGATTTAATGCCTCCTATCTAATCACTTGTCAATTAAAAAGATCACCTCTTGAAAATTTGTCGGATGGTTGGAACGCGAATTTTTCAGTCGAGCCGAACGTTTTTCTTCTTCTTTGGAGCGATCGACCGTGGCAATTTCGAGATAATGATGGACTCACACGACCACCACCTGCCACCTGCCGATTCTCTATCTCAGAAACGGACACTTATAACACATGTGGCGAACCAGTGGCGGAGATTTAAACAATTTTTAACAAACTAACGTTTCACACATCGATTCATCACACCACAGATACGCTGAATTGGCACAGAATCGACACATCAATGAAAATTAATGCGATAAAATTCCAGTGAAACAAATTTGATAAATTTCGACAAACTCATTTGAATCCTATGCTAATTTACAGTTTAAATACTGTAATTAGCAGATAGCAATTGTAATTATTCGAAAATTACCAAATGAACTTACCCGCTCATGACGTCCACCATCCCAATCCTGAAATAAAATAACAATTTTAATTTTTTATCACATGAAATACAAAAATAGGTAGGTACTCTGATTTTTATCTCGATGAAGCGTAAAACGCTCCCCTTGGGGGTTTATTTATTCGAACTTTCCTCTCTAGTTCGATAATTACTTTGTTTATACATTTATTAAATTGCGTTTCGCGTCTGGAAGTGGCCACAAAAACGTAATGAAGTCTTAATTCCATGCAGTGCGAACTGTTAACATTCACTGTTTCAATTAGTAAAGTTTTAGTGTTCGCTACATACAAATTTCTGACATTGTTTAAAGTTGAATAAGTTTGAATAAAAAAACTCCGTTTGCTTTAATGCATATTAAATTTTTTCCGGATAATTCTAGAGTTAAGCAGATGAAAGGAAGTACGTCGTGATATTTTTACTTTGATTAATATAAGAACTGTAATGAGCGAAGAAAATTGTAGTGAGAGAACGCAGAGAAAAGGAAACGGTCCTAAGTAGCTCAATTTTTTAAGCGAAATTTCCTCCGGAAGTCCATAGCTGTGTTTAAAGGTGTTTTGATGGGATTAAAATATAATCAAATCGAGTGAAATTTTTTTTCAAAGTTTCGTAATCGCATTAGGAGTCACAAAGATCGCCGCCACCACTGGTTCGCCTCGCCCGAGGATTACAAACTGGTTGTTTTGTGTACGCGTTTATCACTTCTACCACTGTTTTTTCCTTCGTAATGATTTATTTCTCGTATTTCCAGTGGCGGCAAGTTCATCAGCACCGGGGAGAAGATCCGATTGCCGGACGACGTCACCATGGGCTACATAATCGGTAAGAATTCGCTTCGGAACAGTGCAATTTAATCGACACCCACGTCGAATTTCAGAGCACCTGCTGAAGAAGCCGTTGACGGTCGTCGACCAGTTCCACTCGCATCTCGAGCCGATGAAGTTCATCAGACGGGAGATACTCGAAGACCAGGTAATTATATTTTCGAAAAATCAAATTAATAACCGAGGAATGCCCATCCGCCACCCCGGGGCCGGAATTTATGGCTTCCTTTCGGCCGGCTAATTGGTCGGGTCTCCCGCTGGAGTAAAAATGTGTGCTTTTGCAGATCTCGTTCAGTTACGCCCGGAACAAAGATGAATGGAACGTCGTCAAGATCGAAGGTTTCGATACGAAATACGACACGAACAGGTAAATTTTAATTAGATACAATTTATCGCACCCACCGATTAGAAGATTCCATGTTCCGACCCTTATTAAATGCGATGACGAACGGTTTATTAAATTGGGGGATTTTACAGGTTCCTGTCGCTGCACTGCTTCTTGTTCCCTCATTTCAACTTCTGTCCGCGATGAGGGGGCGCAGGGGCACCACTAAACTATCTGTGATTTTTGTAAATAAACTTGGTATACCTTAATTCTACGTCGGCTTTTTTGGTGACTAGTCTAACGGATTTTAGGCTTCTAGGTTATATTTTAACGATTCGTTAACAACCAAGAATTAACATATTAACATTTTTAGCTGATTGCAATGTCTTGTGATAATCAAATATTATGTAGCTATTTTTATTTTATCTCACATAGGTTTTAGGTGCAATTATATTGTATTTTTGCTCAAAGTGTAAATTGTACATTTTTTGTATATACTGTATGAATGTTGAACGTTTTTATATATTTTTAAAATAAAGAATTACGTTATGAATCTCGTCTCATTTTCAAATCAAATCAGAACCCTTCAAAAAAATTCCTGATCCTACTTTTTTGCCTCATAATGCAGTCGAAAAGATGCACTTCTAGTCTAGAAAAAATCTTTGTATGTATGACACCACAAAGCTTGAGAACGGGCCGCAAACTAAACTAGATATACAACCCAGGATTTAGGTTTTTGCAAAATAAAAAAAACGTTCTACTTTTAAAAATGATACCAACAATAACAGCGTTAAAAACTTATTTATGTAGATCACTGTATTTTTGGTTTCTGTTACACAAATAAATCTACAATGTATATTATAATAAATTTGAAATTTACATGTGTGGGCTCCTTAAAGTTCCATCTCTGGTTAATTTTTCATAGTCAGTAATTTTATTTATTTTGATTTTTGATTTTTGCATAGGCAACCAATAATCCCATTCCCAGCAACCAACAACACACTCGTTTAAAATCCCTGATCCAGCAGAAGCCCTCCCTATTATTCTAACGAAAGTGCATCAGTTACATCATCTCGGGTGATTTATTTTAAAGTTCTCTCTATGTCACGTTCCGGTCCGTTTTTTCGCTCCTAAGTCTTGAAAGTTCTTTCCTCCGGGGTCTGTTATTGACATTTCGACGCGAATGTGCCTGGATCTTCTCCAGATGGCCTTTATTCACTAGTTTCCATATTTGATTCAGAATATAGGTGCAGTAGCGTTACACTCTTGAGAAATTTATTGCAATGATGGGGTAGTATCGGCCGGAGACGGACTGAATTTTTTATTGTTTGATTCCAAACATTGATTTTCTTTTTTGGTAAAGTTTGGCGAAATTGCAACGGACACAATAGATGCTTTTGGGTTTGAAATTTGAATAATCGCATTTTATTGTGTTTGCTTAAGCCTCAGTTAAATATGGCAGGGGATTGCGAACAGATTTAGGACAGCAACTAGGACTCGCCAGGTGTAAAACTTTCTATAAAAAAACATAATTAAGTAAGTAAAGGAAAAAAAAGTATCAAAAAAGATATTTGCATTTTGAGATCAGACTGACTAAAACCATATACATTTGTATTTTAATTTTTTTCTCAAAGATGCAAAACAGTTTATTTATTAATTATAACTCAATTAAAAAAAATGGGTACAACCTTTTTTTTTCATATTCTAGCCCAAAGTTTGCAAAATTACCTCATGTTTACATGCAATATAAGAAATCGCAAAGCAGCCGTTGATAAACCAATTGTGCACTTGTGATTAATTCAGAGTCTAATTTATCGGCGATTAAATTTTACACGAGTCGTTAAGTTTTTTTTAAGTTTCTCTAGACGAATTAAAATTTATCAGATCCGTGCAACTTCCCGTGCATTAGTCGTGAACTTTATGTAAAACTACATAATTTACTTTTGTTGATTTCGTGTCGAGATTAAGGGTGTTTTTAAGTCGACAAGAGAAGTTTATTGTACAGACCGCAACGAATTTACTGTCCAAATAAATGGATCTTTTATGTACCATTTGAAAAATGAGTTTTTTTTGAGTGGTTTCCGTCACTAAAATAATTCTACGGCTTCTGTGATCATCGATGAACGTAATCCTTTTGTAAATTACTAAACGATCAACCCTTCGTTTATTTTTAATTAGAGTAACTAATCCGTTGTCATCGTGAACTTTTCGCTGATTAAATTAACAACGACACGGAAATAGCTGCTCCCGCTTATAAAGCAATTATGCTCATGCTAGCCATATAGTGATGGTAAATTAACAAAAGTAAAAGCCGCCCTCACCGATCGATAGATACAACACTGGTGATGATAGCGAGACGCTTTTAAAATCACATTTTTGACACTACCCTATCATTCTCGCTCTCTCACAAGCGGTCTTTTATATATAACAAGTTATTTCACTGCAACTTCAGCACTAAAAGTTTGTCTTGAGAAAACAAAATAAAAGGATCGACTCGAAGAAGTTTTATTGTTCGAGGGGTTTTTAAAATTGCAATTGTATGCGTTTGTTTTGCACGAGAATAAACAAAGTTAAGTTTTCAAGTATTATAGAGACGAAACGTTGAATTGTAATGTCTAAATGACCAATGACCAACCAACCCGAACAATAGCTCTATTATATTGCATGATATTCGCAAACTAAAGTAATCTTTTTGCACCTTTTGCCCTAATACACTGAGAAATCCTGAATGAAGTTCAAACATGTTACAAAACCCAACAGTAACTTACTTCAACACTCTTGTCTTCGCAATTCCCACTATGTGTATCAAGTTATGAAGCAAGCCATGCCTCCGTACAACTTTCAATAATGACTTAACAAAAAAGATACAAACTTTATTTTTTTCTCGAACGTTTTATGTATTTTTGCGTACATCTGGAGATTTTGTAGATTTTTTTCATGTGGTTGGAAAGTTGAAAAATTTTTTTGGTAAAATTTGAAGCGTGTTTTTGTTATTCGAAACATTTCCATTCTGGTCAAAATCACCCGTTGCTGTTTTGACAAAAACAATAAAAATTTAATCATCACGTTCACCAAAAATTCACCTTCTTGCTGATAATTAATAATGACTTTCCAATCAACAACCGACCCGTGCCAAATAAAACATCCACTAATTGTAAATTCCCCTCTGCACGGACAATAAACAGTTAAAATATCGTTCATCAAACTCTGACTTCCCCATATTGCCCTCATCAAAATCCCACTCCCTTTTATCCCGAATGTTTGGACCCGCTGTGCCCTAACACACAATGAAACGCATCGATCGTTGCATCGAGGTCGCGGCCTAATGACATAATTCCTCAGTCAATACCATCAAATTTGATATACGAGTGGTCGTAACCCCGCATTAGCAGCTTATTACATCCCTTTCGTGATTTTTTAAGACACTCGGTGAATGTCCATTGACGATGCTTTTACTGCGTTTACCGAGCCGAGCTCTGATTTCCCCTTTGGCAAAAAGAAGACAATCCTCTCGAGACACCCACACTCCTTACCTACCTCGTAACTTCCAGCTATAAACGTTCGCCTCGATAACCAATAGTAAAAATCGGACCAATCGTAAAACAAGACGCATCATAGGGCTAAGTGATTTAACTTTCGAAGAACAGGTATAAAGAAAATGAACCAATCTTTATTAAAGGAAAATATATTTGTTCATTCACATGTGACTAAAATCACTCAAATATTTGCGAATATTGAAACCCACCATCTTGCAAACTGTTTGGATAAAATCAAAATTGACATTGCATTTGTATTTGGCTCCATCCAGGCTTGAACTATCGGATAAGCTCGATAACAGTTGTAGTTCCACAAGACTTGACACTTGAACTAGTAGATTATTATTAAAACCGACTTTGTCTTCAACTATGGAATAAAAAATCGCCAACAATCTGTCAAAACTGAAAGGTTTGGGCCCTAGAACAGTATTCAGCTGTTCGCTCACTTTATTTTTCTTCTTAACATCTCTCAAAGACTTGGTTTTCTTTCCGTGATATTTCATAAAGAGTCTCTTATCGTCTTTTGCAGGATTATAGCTTGCTAGATAAGCAGCAATTAGTAGATATTTGGCATAGAAAGGCAGTTCGAGGTTTTGTGGTAGAGAAACTGTTGAAACTCTTAGATAGAGATTTTGTAGGGCTTGTTTGAGAGTGGGAGCGACTTTTCTCCACAAAGCCAACGAATCGTTGATGGTGTTTTCTTTATTGATGATCGGTTGACAGTAGTTGAGAAAGTTACTTCTCGCGATATAACGAAGTTCCGTCAAGTCTCTACAGTTTCGATAAAAAACCGAAAGAAAAACATTCAAGTAATTCCGATAAAAGTCGACGTCAAATTCAAACCCTCCATCTTTCGTATTATTGATAATCAGCGATCGGGCATAATCGATATCCAACGTGAGAATCTCCAATAATTCATCCTTGTTGTATTGGGGAAAGGTGATTTGAATCGGCTCGACGATGTTAGTTTTGGAATAGAACTTCTGAAGGATGATTTGTGAGAGGAAAATGACGCTTATGTGAATCCCTCCGGTGAGCTCTTTGAGTTTGAGAAATCCCGGAAATATGTTGAAATCCATAGTCCGGAGCTTGTCGGCTTTGTCGATAATTAGCACAGATCGGTGTATTTCGGACCGATTCCGCTGCAAATGATCAATGAAATCCATCATATTCTCGCATTTTGTATCCACCAAACCACAAAGCTTATTCAAAATCGTCTCGTATAATATTTTAGCGGTGTAACATTCGATCATATTGATAACTGCATGCTTAACACCAACTTCCTCCAAAACTCGACGAACAACAACAGATTTGCCGACGCTCGGACCTCCAGTAATGTAAACGCTCTCCGGAAAGGGCTCCTCTTTGTGGCCGAAGAGATTATAAAGTTGGCCTATTTGAGGAGAGCGACAGGGCAAAGTCGACTCCAGTCGAGATAATGTGGACATCATCGCACTTTACCTGCAACCAAAACAAATCCTCCTGCACAAATGTCATATTCCTAGACCAAAATCAAACTAATCTACTAGACAATTATTAAATTTTGAACCCTTTTCACGACAAATCGTGGAATATTTTAAAACTCTACAGGGGGTTCCGTTTTTATTGTTACAAATTTAAGCAGGTAATAGGATGTTCAATTTTAAAATAAAAGTTTCCTATAAACATGTTTCGAAAAATATTAAATAACGGAGCTACATCCCCCGAAAGCGGTGCATCCTTTAATGGATTTCTTCCAATATTTCAGCAACTATTGTAGATAAAATTTCAAAATTTGGTACAACTGATAACCTTTATACACCCAAACGAATTTAAAAATAAAATGTCGAAATTTTTACTCAGGGGCGTACTAAACTGGAGGGGTTTAGGGTAAAAGTACCCTAACTAAAGTCTGTTTTTTATTTAAATGGAAATTACCAAGTCAAAATTTTGGTGAAAAAATTGGTAGCAGCTTGTCTCCATAGCCACAAATTTTGTTTGCTCTTTGTTTTTGTCCCTAGAAATTTTGTTAAAAAATTATGGTTATGTGTTCAAATTGAGATGTTGTCAAAATTTTGACTTTTATGCTTGTGTGCCTGTTTGCTCTTTGAAAGCGCTATAATTGAATACCTGATGACAGACATCATTACCTAAGGTCTAAAGACAGAATTCAGTCCTAATAATTTTGATAGAAACACACTGCAAGTAAGTACAATGTTGTGGACAAAAATGAGGTTCTCGCTACAAAAACTTTGTAGAAAAAGGATGTATATACAGAAAAAAGTTATTTAGCAAAAGATACAAGTAGGTATTATGATGATTGGCAATAAATTTTCTATAATTTATTAAAATGAGCTCAAAGTTGATGCATTTTATAAATTCTTCTTCAGCTTTAGTTTCAAAATTGTGATTTTTACAACTCGTTCCTCAAAAACGATGCACAAGACACTAATTTAATTGCATTCTTTCCGAGCTTCTTTCCCATTCATGTTTATTTGTGTTCTTGTCAATTTCTTGCTAAAAATTGGGAATGTTTAGCAAACCTGCATTACAAATTGCGTCTACATTTTAACGGGCCCTTTTTCTAACTTTCTGCTTGCGAACTATTCGTGTCTAAATGTCTAAAAACTGTTAGCGCTACTGAATTTGTTCCTTTTTTGGTGTTTCGTCTCTTTCTTAGACGATTTTTTGTGTTGACGTTTAATGACATTGTTTTCAAATTAATTCAAAAAACCGTAACTGCCAACTTCCTTTATTAAAATTACCATGGATGAATTTACTAGTGGTGCCAACGTTAAGACTGTTTGGCATTTCCATTTAAAAAAAAAACAAACTTTATTTTGGCTGTTGGTTCGTAGCTCTTTCAGCCACAAAATTCTAAATTTCATAGTTTTTTACAAAAAAAAGAGGTCTCTTGCGTTTTTTCGATTCAACTTACCGTTTTTAAGTAAAATTAGTTTACAATTTGTCTTACAGACCATAAAAAGGATACAAATTAAAAATTAAATTTGTTACACCGTTTAAGACACCCGTGATTAAAAATTTTGACAACTGATCTTTGAATTCATTCAGGTGTTATCAGCAGTACCAACTTTTATTATTTTATCTATTCTGCAATAGTGGAAAACCCCATTAAAAAACGCATCTCTTTCGGGGGGAGTAGCTCGCTTACGTAACATTTTTTGATACATGTTCATAGGAAACTTATGTCTTAAAATTGAATATTCTATCACTTGTTTAAATTTGTAACAATAAAAACGGAACACCCTGAATAAACAAGGCTTTAATTATGTGGCCACGAAATGAAAAACATCTTGACTTTGTTGATATTATTAAGAGTATTTTTACTTTTTACTCTTTTGACATCTCTCAGTTCCAATGCTCCACAGGCCTTGACCATTTTTCCCTTCAATTAATCTAAAAAATGATTTATTAAATCCATGTCAGGATCCGTTCGGCAAAACAATCCCATTCCGTAAAATTTCTCCAAAGAATCGATACCAAACACACGAATGCAATATCCGCATCAAATTACTAATCCGACCGAGGAAAAAGTGTATCGTAGCCTTTCGCCCGCCCAACAAAAGCTCACGTCGCCATCAATTCCGGACGATGGGAAGCGTGCCCGGAATACCATCTAGTTCCCATCGACTTTCTACGATTATCTCTTGATTTACACCCAAAAGCTCCCTTGTCCAAACCGCCATTCTCGTCGCGTTCATTTCGTCAAAACTTCTACTTTGGGTAATTATGATCGGGGTAAGTGCGTCTAATGTCCGATTGCGGGGCGATAGTGTCTAAAAAATGGTGTGTGCGGGGCGCCAGTGACAGTGGAGCTTGCGTAGTCCGCCCTCATCGATTTGCGACCCGCTTGCAGACTCCTGGTGGAAGCGGTTGTGACCTCGAGCCTCCTGCAGTCGAGATTCGTGCTCGCGAAGACGATCATCTGCCGCCGCGACTTGTGTTCGTAAAAGCACCACTGCCACGCCACACCGACCAAAAAAAGGACGTTTGGAAGACGGACCGCGACGCTGACGCCGCCGCCGCGACGCGATGTGATTTCTTGTTCAAAGATAAATAAAGAAATGACATTACGGCGCGATTGAGTGACGATGGAAAGGGGTGAGCGATTTTTTTCTTCCTTCTTTCATTCTTTGCTTTGCTTACCGCCGTCGACGACAAATATTTAATGTGATCTCGACTGGATTAAGGACGAGATATATAAACGACGCTGAAGAGAAACTGGCCCTTCTTTGACGTTATAAAGAGTTATAGGTTTGGGGGAGGCTGTTTTATGGACACATAAAAAATCGGCTTGTCAGAAATCCATTGATAGGCACCCGCGGTGGGGCAATAAGGGACTAAATGTATTAGGATAAGTGGGTTGAGACATTAAGACGACGGAATTTGAAAATTTTCAGGAAAAATTACTCATAATGTGAACTTAATTAGTTTAGTTTTTTATTAGAATTACCTTTAAATTTACAAAGTAACTGAACCATTTATAACATATCATTAAATCTTTCCAAATTGGTAATTTTATTACACAGTTGGAGTTTAGTCTGAAAAATAGATAAGTTTTCAGCAAAAAATTTCGGTTTTATTGTTGCAGTGAACAAAAGTTGGAATTCTTCCAATTTTGAATCCCAACTTTATATTTCATTTGCGTTTAATTAATTTAAAAATAATCACGTTATGAAATAAGAATAATTGAAATATATTGAAATAAAATTAATACCAAAACAATTTATTAATCGCTTTGAAACACTAATTTTGTGACACATTCACGTAGCCTAAAGTATGTGCAAATAATAGGGAGGAAATTGTATCTGCCCGAGAGGGAGGAAAAGACCCTTTTCTCCAGTGTAATACTTATCATTTTTCCTACGATATAGCAAGAAAAAATTCAAAACTAACAATTTCTCTTAATATCCCAGTTTCGCCATTAAATCTAGCAGCATGTTTTTCCGGTTCTATGAGAGAGATAGGAAGGTAATTGGCCAGTTGCCTTTCTGAAATTGGGATGGAAAAACTTCTGTTTTATTTTAAAAAATATTGAAAAATGGTTGTTAGACGTCCACAAAAAATTTCTACTATTACTCCCAAACTCTCAATAATATTGGTTTAGATGTTAAACAATTAAAGAAAGAAATCGAACAAAAACGTCTTACGTTGGTTTTTTTCAAAAAAATAAATAATACTTCAAGCATCTCGAATGGCATGTTTTCATGTTTTAACATTTTTTTAATTACTAACTAATTAACTAGTCACGAAATTTTATGTAACAAGTTGGCATACATGGTAGGTATACAGTAAGTTCATTGATTATTTTACTTACAAGTTGAAATGTAAAAATCTCAGATGTAAAAAGTAATATTATTGTTAAATAGAAAAGAAAATCCGATTTTTCTAAAAGTTGGTACATAACAACCAATCCTGAGGCAAAATTTGCTCTTTTATTTCCCTTTATAACCGCACTAATTATAACATTTTACCCTTTGACTTTTTTTAATTACCCCTTTTAACAACATTTTAAGTTCTTATAAAAATAAAAGGACAAATAAAATTAATTTCCGTAACATCTGACATTACAAAAAAGAGCGTCTGAATTGCTTTTGCCATTTAATCTTCTAATGATATTAATGTCTCATCTTATTACGTCCATTTAAATCTTTATTTAAAAGAGATTTTAAAATACCCTCTAGTTTACCAAGCACCTTAACAAGCAGATTTTTTTTTCAAATTTTAACTGATCCGCATTTTGTTAAATTTAACACTTATGAAACATGAAATTTGATTTTTTGTGAATTTTCTATTTCACTACACTTGTAATCTGCAACATGTCGAAAAATGTGCACTAAGCAATAAAAATATGGCCGTTTACATGTAAATTCAGCTGTAGAATGGTGAACATGAGTGGCATATCACCATTCATTTTAAACGCGAAACGGTGCAAAAAAAACTTGTCGGAATTCTCGAGTCGGGCCGAGCATCGTTCATATATTTTTTATTGAATCACACGGTATGCGTTAAAATTTCTATCTATGAATATTACGCGTAAGAACGTTTTAAAAAATTCAACACATCTTTTGCGGTTTCGTGTGTTGATTTAAAAATTCAACAATTCCGCATCCGTGCTCATACTTCCTCCCGGCACTGTTCATCATCTTCACGACGGAATTTATTACGTTGAAGAACAAATAACACGAGACGTAACATTTTCTCGAGCGCTTTCAGAGTATCCTCATTTGTTACGACACTTTTGTTAGCCGAGATCTGACTCTGTAATAAAAATGTTCGTTGCTCCCGTGCCAGTCCACGATTAAAAACCACGTCGAAAAGGCCCTCGAGGCCTCCACTTTCGATCCCGATCCGAGGTCGACGCGATTTTCAGTCGACCACCGCAATTACTAAATAAATCATGCACGCGGTGATTACGGCTAATGGATGCTTAATTAGAACGTCCCCAGCGGCACGTTCCTGGGGTTGTTTCCACGACGACTAGATAAAGCTCGATTGTGTGCAACAAGATGACCACCGGATTTGGCATCGAGCCAGTGCTCAAGGTTACAAACGATTGAAAAAATCGAGAGACTGGATAACAGCCAACTCCTGGACGATGGACGGAAGAAAGAGGATTGCTAGTCGGGACCCTTCCGAAGCAGCTTATCGGAAACGAAAGATCTTGATGACTGCACTTCGATTTCATAGTTTTACTCCGGAATTTCTCAACCGGAACAATTCTAAAAGGGCTCTAGGGCACCAACTGAAATTACTTTGCCCTCATTCGACAAACAAATGGTACTTTCCCACCTGCACAACTTGATGAAACGACTTTTGTCATAACAGGAGCAGTGTGTTTAGCAAAGGAAAACAAAGTTCGTAATTACGGCCAAAGACGACTGATGCAAAAATTTTCACCACATTTAGCTGCTCTATATTGCAGAACAATCTCCCTTTAACACCAAAAGCTCACTCACAAAAATTCTGTTCCAGTGACTAACTCTGAAATTCATTGATAGTAAAACAATTAGTCAAAGTTCAGAGGTCAAATATGGTGAAATGTTAGATGGCACACTGTGTAGGTGACGCTTTTTGAGCTGGGAATGGAGTGGGCAAATTGCGAAATTTCCCATTTAGAACCACCCTTTCATCTCCGACTAAAACTCCGTTAAACCCAATCAATTAAAATTATCAGCGTTAATAAAGCTCCTAGACAGCTTCTAGAACCCGAATAATTCCCTTTAAAAAAATAAACGACTCCTTCCAACCTTGATCAACGTTCACTTCTCGGCACCTCCCTTCCAAACCAAATTTAAACGACAATCCGCCCCCGAATGAGGCAAACAAGGAGTGACGTAATCGATAAAGCACCAGGTTGTTGTCGTCATAATAGGCTGATTATTTCACCCATCAGATAATTACAGCTTCAATTACCTCCACAATGACAAAGAGAGAAAGCCCCGATTCCATATTCACCCTTCACACACGAAAAAAGTAACGAAGTGAGAATCTCGACACCTGAATCAGGGATTGATACCGCACCGTGGGAATATCACTGTCGCGTAAAACAAAGCAAGAGATTGGAATAAAAAAGCTTCCGACTGAAATTTACAAACTCGACTTCTTGTGTAATTACTTCCTACACGAAAAATTTAATTTTCCGGTATGGGCGTAATGAACGTTAAAATCCTTTCATCCCTCTCTGCAAATTGTTATCCACTAATTACAAGCGAAAATAATTTGATATAAAAGTGTGGGAACCTCGAGACATCGCGACGCCTCTTTTCGAGAAAAACTCGCAATCAATATTTAAAACGCAAACCTTCGATTATCATTTAGCCCTGAATAAATATTTTTTCTTTTACGATTTGATCCATAAGCGATAACTCCGTGACTTTGTGACGATATTTCAAGTAATGTTCGAGAAATTTCTTTATGTCGAGTTTGCAAATACGAGTAAACCGATCAGTTTGGCTTTTATCGCTCTTACGTGTAACTAATACTTTAACGATATGTCAAGACCCGGCGCCTCCACCACTTCTCTTTTTTCTATTTTAACTTGAAAATATTCCGAAAGAGGATAAAATAACACTAATAAATGTACGAGAGTAGCATTCTCACAATTCAACAATAAACATGGCGTTGTTTACGAGTCAGTTAAAGCATTACTCGCTGAGAAAAATTTATCGGTTCTGGGATAGTAAAGAAATACAGGAAAGTAAGTCGGTGGTCTTAAATCCCGCGAAAAAAGCAGTCCATTCTCTCCATTGTCGTTTTAAATTTAGCTTTGAAAGAATTGATCGAGCCACATGACGGCCTCTTATTACCCCAGCTAACGAACTAGTTAACTCATTAAACGCACCGTGTACCCAATTGCTCGATTCGGTACAGTAAATTATCCAAGAAGTCGGGACAATAAAGTTTTTAATTCGATCGAAGCCCCCCTTTAATTAATTTCGTTCCATCTCCGGCATAAATTTCTCTCATAGTATGCGACTTGCTTCACAAAGCTCCGACAATAAAATTAATAAAACAACTAAGATAGGGATAAACCAGGACCAAACATCTATCAATGTCCGTTACGTAAAGCTCGTCTCTTCCATAAATCTTTGATTTTTCAAGCGCACATTTCATCCCACTTTTCACTTTAATGTCTCGGAAACGTCGTTGCTTTTGTCCGCAAAAATGGGAAATTATCCATGGGAAAAAAAGGTACGCTTAACTCTCAAATCAAGAAATTATTCGAATTGCGAGACATCGCGTCTCTGTTTACGGCCACCGGTGATCGATACCTCTTTTTCCGTCGATTCCTCTTTTTCGCTTTTTCCCCAACTCCTATTTATTAAGTTCAGCGAGTTTATATTTCGAGCGGTGGCGGCGCTATTATTAAACCAGCGCTTGATTGACGTTTATACAATTCGCAACTAGCACAGACAGAGGCATTAATAATTCCACCGTTCAACACCACCAAATTCGAATTAATCGAATAAGTTCGGAAAAATGAACATGTGAGACTAGTCACTTGTTCGATCCCATCCGATGAAATGTAACGAGGGCTTGATTGACACTCGCTTAATTAAGCTCAAGTTCTGAACAAGCAAAACTTGGACTTTCGGGAA